AGAAAATCTCCTTGTTGTCACCTGTGACAGGATCCTTTCGGTTTTTTGTTGCGATTCTTCGGAAAAGAACAGCGGAGAAAGCACGCGTCTGCCAGTAAAAGTTTTTCCATTAGCTTGAATCCCAAATGATCATGAAATTCGGCAGTTGGTTCGGTCGTCGGTCGTTTCCAACACCCCTCCTTCCTTCCAAGCAACTGCACCCCTGGAGTCTAGTGCGACTTACCATTGTGTCCTCTGCACCACCAAGCTGTTCCGCCAATCCCATCAATAGGACATCCGGTCGGTTCTGGACCCAGTCATTGTTAAGCTGGTCTTCCGCCTGGGATCTGACGGTATTGTCGGGTGTGCTCAAGGCGCGGAGCAGCTGGGAAAGCGCGGTGTGGATTTCGGGAGGTAGGAGGGACATGTTGGGCGTGTCTGTTCCCAAGTTCCAGACGATCCAAGCAAACCAGTTCTTTCAACCCTCGGAGAAGTGGTTTGGTGGGGATAGAGGGGTGGAACGAAGGAGAGGAGTTTTGTTTTTGGTGGGGCGGGGAGAGGGAAAAAAGAAGAATTTCTGATTAGGAGAGCGATAGACGGATAGGCCCTTGAGGGTGAAGAAGAATCGAAGTGCTACTCTGATCACACCACAAGAGGAAACGAAATTTGGCAGAGGGTGTCGAGGTCTTTGGATCGGATTATTTCTCGACAAAAATTACAATTAACTGTACGAATAATCCAAGGACAACACAAAGAGCCCATAGTGACGATAATCGCATCCAGACGCTAAACCCAATGCGGTAATTTCAGGCCACAAGGCCAACTACATTTGAACGGACATGAATACATAACCATGAAAGAAGTGAAACATTGCTGATCTACATACGTAGTAGACAAAGGGTTAACTTATTTTGTGGGTCATCACGGCGAGAGATACACGGGATCATCGGATCAAGTCTATCTCGAACAATTATTTGCATTGAAGGCTAAACTAAGGCCGCAACTGCTCACACGAACAGTGGTATCTGAACGCGACATGGAATATCGATATTAGAGAAGGAAGTAACGGGTATGCAACAGTCCGAACAGGAAAAAATGATCTACTATGCTTTTTCAGGATGCTTAATAGCCAAGCTGAACCAGACAAAGTGAAGTATTTGGAGAGAAAAGAGGGTTGGGGAATAGACCAAAGGCCAAATATTTTTTTACCGGCCACTGGGGCGGCTGAGAATGAACACACCTGCAATAACTGCAGCCAATGTGACAATAGCACCGGGAAGCAGCAAGTCGTTGGGGACACCGGCAATCAATTGCTCTTCTGGCGCTTGAGAGGGCACAACTTGCTGCTGAGGCAGGACCTTGCTCACAGGGGATTCTTGTGATGCGGGTTCCTCAGTGATGCTTCGCTCTTCAACAGGAGTCACAATCTTAACATGATGGGGTTCAACAGGAGTGGGTGCCTGGGCAGGGTCATGGACAAACAAATTGACCTTGTCGCGGTGAGTACGGCGGGCCAGATCGATGGCATCAGTCATATCCTGGTCCGTGGTGATGGAGACGGTATCACCCTCGTTATCCATGTAGCTGAGCGCATATCCAGTGTGGCTCAGCCGACCCTCCTCGACAGTGGCCTCGCCGCCAACAGCCTCGACTTCCTTGCCAAGCTTCGCTGTGACTTGCAACACTAGGTCAGTAATGCCACTGGTAGCAAGAACGTTCACACGGTGCACTCGGCCACCGGGGGCCTTGAACTTGAAGGGGAATGGAGTAGGAGCAGCTGGTTCTGCTGGCTGGTGATGAGAAGCAACTTCGGAATGCTCCTCACCGTGGTGCGATGCTGAGTCGTTGGGAAGAAGACTGTTGTCGCAGCCTGAGCGAGTGAGGTCGGGGCTCGTGACTGAGCGGTGTGGGGTATTATGGCTGTGCCCACCAGAGATCATAGAATCTGACTCGTGATCCATTGATAACCAGAATTTGTTCCATGCAGGGCCCTCCTCATCTTGGGTTGACATGGTGTTGATCTGAATACGTCAGTCAAAATGTTTGCATGTCAGATCTGCTATTATATCAACATACCTGTTCAAGAGTGGCATATGTAAGCTTCAACACATCCACCATGCCGACAATTTCACCACCCTCGTTCATCACGGGTAGGTTGAGATAGTGGCCATCTGTTGTAGACTTAGCATGCTTTGTTTTTAGGTTTTAATTGCTGATTGGAATGACTGACCATGCATCTTGCGAAGTGCAGCTTGAATACTCATATCCGACGGGGCGAAATCGGGGTGAGGAGTCATGACACGGACAACACTGCAAGTGGAAGGGTCGAGGCCAGGAGCAATAACGCGAAGAACAATATCCTTGCTTGTGAAGATACCAGTGATCGAGCCTTGGTCCTGGACTAGCAGAGCAGTGGTGTGATTTTCCTTCATCAGAGCCGCAGCGTCCTTGACGGTGGTGCGGACTGAGACAGTGACCGGCGGCAAGCCATCCAAGACGGTCTCGAGGGTCGGACCAGACATCTTCGATCGCAATGCCTCCACATATTGGATGACTTGCTGGGGCTGACTAGAGCCAAGTTCTGTCTGAACACCCTCCAGCGCATCATACAGCTTGCGAGACGAACTGTACGCACGCTCCAACTTTTCCATAGCATCGTAGAAGCACTTTGTAATATCCAAAACACCAGAGATATCCTGATTTTCATCCATGACCGGCAGATGTCTGAATCCCTTCCGGACCATAAGATCGAGCGCGTCAGTAGCGCTGGTATCCGTTCTCGCGCACAGCGGGTTCTTGGTCATGATCTCGGCGACCGAGACATCTCGCGCCTTCAGGCCCATTCCGACAACTCGGAACGCCAGATCCTTGGCAGTGAAAATACCCGCGATGCGCTCATTATCGTCAGTGACCAACACACAGTCCTCTCTCTTGGCAGCCATAAGCTGAGCGGCTTCTGCGATGCTCATGGTGGGCTTGATCTGGAGCGCCTGACTGGGCTTTAGGGCGAGCACGGTGCCGGGAGGGGCTTTGCGGGAGCTCCTCGATTTTGCCGGAGCGTTCCTCTTTTTGCTGAGGTCGGCCTCCATTTTGCGGCGGATAGCCTTGTGTTGAGGTTAGCTCAAAGTCAAAGCTTAAATTGAGCATCAGGAGATCACTCCCGTTGGCTGCCATGACGTACCTCATCGCGTTTCGACTGGGTCTGTCGCTGTCTGCTACTTGCGGCGCTCATTGTGCCACTTCCGACGTCGCTCGAGGGTGTATTATTTGTGGTAGAAGATTCTGGCCGGGGTCGAGGGATGTGGGAAGCACTGGGGTCGTTTCCGAAGTCGGGCAGCCTTCCTCTGCCGATGGTCTGATTGGGCTTTCCCCGAAAAGTACCTGTGGCCGACATAATAATGCCGAAAGGGGAAAGACTCAATAATAATAAAGAGAAATGAAGGGAGAGGACACAAACAAAACAAGGATGTAAAGTTGTGAGACTGGTATGAGAGAAGAAAAAAAAGCAAGGAGAATTCCTGGGAAGGAGATGAAAAATGGGCAGTTCAATGGTCAATCCGAACAGGGGTGTTTCTTTCGTTAGTCGGGGATGAGGAGCCATAAACACTGGATGACACGGTACGATCCGGGCGCTAGGCCCAATCAGGCGGACGTACTGCTCGTGACTCTGTACACGTGATCAAGTATTCCCGAGTATTATCGCCTGATGTTTGAGGCACCAACCCCGTGACCCATCTCGCTTAAGGGCTTAGGGCTACCCGCACAACGGAATCCAATCCATCCCGAAAGAGACTTTGTGTGAGCGAGCTTCGACAACCCACTCCCGACAAGTCAACCGTACGCTATCTCCCCCCTTCACCCACAGACCAACACCTAACCATCCACAGAACAAACCGTCAAAATGGTCAAGAAGAGGGCGAACAAGTAAGACCAACAAATCCCCCCCCATCTCGGCGAAGCAGTATCCCATTCGACATCTCCGCAATGACGCCAACGGAAGCGCACACGACATACATCTTCAAATATATCGAAAATCGCGACCTATGCACATTGCCGGACAAGAAGAATGGGAGACTGGATTCGATCGATTCGCAACTTCAGGGGCGGTAACTAATGATTTGATAGCGGCCGCAACAAGAATGGCCGCGGCCACGTCAAGCCTGTGCGTTGCTCCAACTGCGCTCGCTGCACCCCCAAGGACAAGGCCATCAAGCGCTTCACCATCCGCAACATGGTCGAGTCCGCTGCCATCCGTACGTGACAACTCTTCCCCGATACCTCGAATCTACGACAAGATCCCAGATCTATGGCTACGACCAATTCGAGGGATTTCAAGACGAACCAGCGCAACTAACGATTTACCGCTCCACAGGTGATATCTCCGAGGCTTCCGTCTTCGCTGAGTACTCTGTCCCCAAGATGTACCTGAAGCTCCAGTACTGCGTGTCCTGCGCCATTCACGGCAAGATTGTCCGGTATGTTTCCACCGATTACCCTCGATACTCAATCGCCTTCCAAATACTAATTTTTTCAATCTACAGTGTTCGCTCCCGCGAAGGCCGCCGCAACCGTGCTCCTCCTCCTCGTATTCGCTTCAACAAGGACGGCAAGAAGCTCCAGCCCCCTACTGCCGCCAAGGCTTTGTAAGGAGATGAATGTCGCATGATGAACAAAATAAAATGGAACTAGTTTGAAATGAATTCTTTTATTTTGTCTTCACTCTTCGCATTGGTGTTCTTCTTGACCGGATCGCAGGGGTGATGCTCGGTCCGAAACTGCCGGCCATGCTCCTACACTGAGGATGAAAAAGACGGCACCAATTGTCCGATGAAGGCAGCTTGGGTGTCTCTTTAGCATTGTGATGTTTATGAGCCCGTTGACGACGGCTTGTTATGACTGGGAGGAAGGATGGTTCAGGTCCAAATGAGGACTTAGAAAATATCAAAAATTCCTACAAACATGATCGCATGAAGTAGCAGCGGTAGTAGTATGATGGGTATGTATCTTGCTAAGTACAAAATTCATGGGTACAGGTACCCCTTCTCGAAATAGTTTCCATACATGTCTACCGTTCCGGTCCGCACCTTTGGCATCGGGTTTCGTACGATCTTCACTTCTCCCTTCCAATGGCCTTCGACGTAATGCGATAGGGAAATATGGGGCGATGATGGCATGATTAGGCCGGAACTACTCGTGCCAATCGTGCTTCGCCGTCCTCTCTCACGATGAACTACTTTGTCATACTCAACCTTCTTGCCCCGACGAAAGGCTGCAAGCTCTGCCACAAGGTCAATCATCGGGGGCTGGCTCTGCTGCTTTCTGTCTCCAGCAGTCCCTGGCGGACCGGGAGTATTGCTTTGTGGAAGGTGATGTCCGAGTTGAGGAGAATCGGGTGAACGCAACGAGTCATCCTCCGAGGGCATAAGCGAGACCTTTTCGTTAAGTGCAGCCATTGGAAAGTATTTGCTAGGATCATTTTCAGGGACTCCACACTCTTCTTCGCCGAAGAAGCTGAAATCATCGGCAGCTGCAGACCAAAGATTCTCCGAGTCGCGGTCACCCGTGCTTGAATAGCCTTTGGCATTATACTGGTTTCCGGGTTTCCATGATGTCAATTTGGAGGTATCGATAGGTGTAATTTCGAGAATTAGACGTCGCAGACCAAAGAGAGATCGTGACCGCTGCTGCTCGGCTTGCATGCGAGCTTGCCCTGGTGGGAGGGAATAGTCTGACCCTGCTTGTAAAATTGCTAGCAATGCTTCACTTGAGCAGGCAGTAATGAACCGAATGAGCGTAGATAGTATTGATGAGTTGGGCGTTATATGTGAGGGTACATCCGTCAGTACCAATGATTCCATATGAGGAATATGTGATGGGTGTAGGTAAGGGAATCGGCTTTCTTTTCCTCCTTGGAGTGGAATTGATTGGTTACGTGGGCGCTTTGCCAATAATTTCTGTACCATTTGTGCGGGAGAATCGTTCGGTGAGATGGACGAGCTGCATTGCAAGGTTCCTTGGAGAGAGAAGTCCGTCGCAAGCGTGTCGCAGTCTGAAGACATTGAAATGGATGGCAAGGTACCTCCCTCGACCTGCTCTGTATCCCAAGTGTCTGTCCTATAAGCACCGAAGACCGTCTCTTGATTGGTGCTACTATGCACAGGGGTGGGCTGTACAACCTCCGGCGCAAAAGCTGACCCACGCCTGACTGACGGCGAAGGCTCATCCTCGTATGCTGTCAATAGTTGGGAGGTCTCTGCCGTTTTTGTCGTCGAAGATGAGCTAATTGAGTCGGTTGTTGATGTATCTGCAAGTTCAAAAATAGGCCTTGTCTCTTCGGGTAACTCATAAACCTGCTGGGAGGTATCCAGCTCAAATTGCTCAGCTTCGCGGGGGCTATCTTGCGCCGAAAGCTCTGGAAGAAACTCATTGTTGGATGCAACGTCTTTCGCTGGCGGTTGGCCAGTGAGAACAGCATGGTGTGCTCGTAAATATATCAAATTGTCCCCTGCAACCTTGCCCAGTATTGGGACGAGCTTCTCAGTTCCAGGATACTTCTCCTTCCCATAATGATGCGTCTGATGTGCCTTATCTGGAATTTTTATGGTCCCAAAATCCAGAGCATGTAGCCGGGACGAGAACAAAAGACTCGCCACAGCCTCTACAGATATTTGATTGCCAGTAATATAAAGATGGGTAATTCCCGTATGCGGCAAGTCTTCGACCCATGGATGGTATAAAACAGGCTGAGCAAGAAGCTTCGCAAACTGTTCATCTAAGTCTGGCCGTTTGAAGAAATCCGAGCCAGACTCATTAATTGAAAAGTGAGAGAAGGGGTCTGGTGAAGCGGTGGCCTGCCTTGTAGTATGTTGCCTTTCTCTCCCGTTTGGCGGGAGAAAAGATGCCTCGAGCAAGGAGCGGACTGCCATATCAGTGAGGATGTTGTCTCTCAAATCCAGACAACGGACTCGTCGTCCAATTGCATTGGCTAGAAATTCCACGTCATTGTCCTTAAGTCCGATGGCACGCAATTTAAGTACCCGGAGAAACGGCATTTGAGCTAGTGTAGACAGTACATTGCGGTCTCGTGCTGGGGTGGTGTACGAAAGATCCAGATAGGTCAATGCCGGAAACAAAACGAGAGTATCTGCGAGGCTGGCAGAAGTAGTATTCGGCTCACGTTCAGCTAACAAGAGCCGGATATTATACTGGTTCGATCTCTCGTCGGTTTTCAATGCTTTCATGGCATGGTGGTCAAAGAACGGCAACTTGGAGACCATCAGGCATTGCAGACAAGGTAGACATTCGAGAATGTCCCTCAACCAGCCTGGCCGTGGACCACCATATATTTCTGAGAGAGCGGGTGGGAGATGAAGGGTATGGGTCAACGCCCGCACCTCTTGTCGGGCGTATTTGAGTGTTCTTCGAAATCGAGTGAGAGCCACTGTGTAATCCGGTTAGGTTATTGCTTTTTCAGCAATCGCTGTTGTAACTAATATTACTTACCGTAGACTGCGTCATTATCTGTACCAAAGTGAGATGCTGGATCACCCCAGAGGAAGGGCATAAATAGACCATGCCATCTGTGGCAGACTAAAGATGCAGCGCATAGGTCGCTGGAAGGGATATAACGAGCAATAATTGTCCAAGCATCTCTGTCTGTTGCTGATTCGTAAGAGGGAGGAATAAGATCCATGTTCATTATGTTTTTTTAATTCTCGATCAAAGACATCGTGAATTTTGAAGACGGTAAAAATCCGGGGAGTTTGGCCCCATGAGTTGGCCCACTCAGCCACACAGTTTTACGGCAGCCATTAAAGACAGATCATTGGTCTCAGGATTCCGACTCTTATTCCAAGCTTGCGTTATATTGTTTCAGGTATTTTCGCATTTCTGGCTATATCTGAAAGTCATGACTGTTTAATTCCAAGGGGACATATGACGTCACTGAACAGAGCAACTATATGAACAGGTGGGGGATACTTAAAAGGGCCTTTGCTTAGAAAATACCCGTTGCGCCGTTCCCACCCAGGGCTGGAAAGCCCAACTGCCTGTTGAAAACATCCCGGAATACTGGATCTTGTAACAAACCAGATGTAGCGCATACACCCTGCTCAACAAGTTCCATCTTGCGCAGCCTGGCTTGAACCACCCCGCATGTATCAGCCCACGCACAAAGGTTGCCAGCCAGACCTTCAAACAAACTGTAAGGCTCATCAGGCATGCGATAATCTTTATCGGAAGAAGCGGGCGAAGTGTTATATGGCCTAGTTTCACGTGCATGCAACATGAACGCAAGTGCCTTCGAGAGGAAGAAGTCACTGGTGAGCTCCTGACTTATCTCGGAATTTGGAAGTGCTGATAGTTGATTTCTCTGGAGATAAGCTGTCTGGGCATCTTTCAGAATCTCTGTGTGGTATTCAAAACAATCATGAAGGAGGAGCCATGCCCATGCATTGCCAGCCACGCCATGACACAAACTGCCTCCCTTAGAAAGCAGACCTTCTTCCCACACACGCTCAGTGCCCAAGTATAGGGCATCGTCCCAACTTGGATCCCAGTAGGCGCATGTTAAGGATTTGTTTTTCAAGGCAGCTCCTAGAAGAACCAACAATCCTGGGCTCCCGTGGCACAGCTGGACTAGTTCTGAGCGCTGCCTGGAGCCAGGATATGGAGGCAGTGCCATAGGGAGGTGGCCATTAGTAGCTTTAGATAGCTTACAGAGTGCAGTGATAGTACCGCCAATCACTGGAAGATAGTCCGTAAGCTCTTCAGGCTTACATGAGAGCAGGATGGTTAGAATACCGGCTAAATCACATATTAGCATTCGTTTTGGTAAAGTCCAATTAATTGCGTGCAAACTTACTTATTCCATGGACTCTATAAACCGTCTATTAGCGATATTGTACATATAAAATGAGTAGAGATACACTTACGCGCCCAAACCGTAATAGCCCTCGATCCATACATACATCAATGGATGTGCATCTTGGCCTCCATGCTTCTCGGTGTATTCCTTTGATCCTTGTCTTCCGGCATCAATAATCACTCGGATCAACTGAGGAATCCCCCCAGCATAGGTGAGAGGACTGCCTGGGTCTCTTTATCAAAGTGATGAGCACGAATGTTCAAAAGGGCCCAAAGAAGTCCTGCTCGCCCAAATAGCATCTCATCTCCACCCATTTTTCGGCCTTCATGAATAACAAGAGGCTCGTTCGTTAGTGCGCATTTCATGGCATCATGAAGGCAAATGATGTCCTTTCCGGCAATGCTAACATTGGGGCTATCTTGCGAGTTATTCTTTGCAAAAATACCTAAAATTCGCAGAGTGGCAGCAGTTACAGGCGAAGATGAGCCAATTGGAGACAATCTGGAGGCTAGCAGAGGAGTGTCCGGGAGGCTTGATGGAATCCGTTGTAGTGCGTAAAGACGATAGTCAATAGAAGCAGCCCTGTGATCGTCTAGCACCGAGGACTGGTAATCTAGGCGCAGGAATGCCAGAGCAATGCCTTTATTGAGTGATTAGAAAGCCATGATTTTGAGAAGTGAAGTGGGGGCTTGAAATACCTGGGAAAGCTCTCATTATGCCATTTGAGCCCCATGTTTCAGGCAAGGGAGTGTTCTCTTGTATCAACTCGGCACCACTACGCACAGCAACACGAAGCTCGTGGAGGCTCTCGGAAAGAGTGGTAGTATTGATTGATAGCGGCGTCAACGTATTCTCGAAGTATTGCGGTCGATCTGCCATGGCGGAAGTTTTATATAGTTATAGGCTGTGAGTTTGCCGACAATATGGCGTGCTATACAGAAAGCAAATTTAGTTCTGCAGTTCTGAAAGATGTTGTCTTTCTGAGCGGGGCTATGGCAGCCTAATCGTACAACGTACAACGTACAATGCTGGACTGCTCAGCTGGCCCCAAAACCAATTCCAGAACCTTCCCCGCCAGCAAATATACGCAATGCAAGATGGAAACGTAGAATAACGAAAAAGATTTCCGATTGGATCCATTGAAATTTAGCTACACCACAATCTATTCACAATAACACTAGAGTATGCACGTACCAAGATTACCGATTCAGCATACGCATGTACGATGTACAAAGTATGCATACTGTGCTTACGTATATCAAGCCTCAAGCCTGATCAACCTGGAATTGATACCACTGGGACATCGAGGAACATATATTTATATGTATGCCTGTGGCGCTGGCAACCCCTAAGGGTGGTGCGTGTACTACGCGCTACACCATTTTGAAATATTACTGTTATGTACGCCTTTCATTCTCTGTACGAGACATATATTATCTGCATATATGAGTACAGGAATAATGGCAAACGCAGGGCTGGTTTTCGTCCTCTACCCAGCAAATAACGACGACATAAATATTCTAGATGATATATATCGCAGTAATAATCCAGTGTTCATCATGTATATGCTTCTTCACCACGCAACATAACTTCATGTTTGCAGAGGCAGACTACCATAGCTATAAATTAGCACAGAACTTTCTTTATGGCGAGGACAGTAAGTTGGCTCTCTGGGATATAGGCTCGAGATAGTTAGGTCTGGTTCGCAAGCCGCTGCTGATGGATCAGCGCGAGTAGATTTCCAATTGATACTTAATAATCTACACTAACAATGTACAATAGTCTTGGATTCTACTGTAGAACTACACATATTTACTCACTATTCTTAAATGGACCAAGCCCCTAGTTCTGTTGATGAAATATTGTTCTTGCCCTAGTTCTCATGTTTGATTTCCTGGCACACACCCAGCATTCACATTCCCTAAAACATCAGGGTATAATTAGGTCAGTTGGCTCACCACACTCTTGGGATCTATATAGCTCTTGATCGTCTCTTACATAGTTGTACGATGTATGTATGCAGTGCCTGCATGAAACCTGAGAAATCGGGCATCAAATTATATTACCTAAGCCTGAATACTGCCCAGGTGAGTCAGCAAGGACCACGACTTCTCTACTTGCGTTGCGGCTATTCCGGACTCGAGAATACTCACGCGGTCCTCGAAGTGCGATTGAGGGCTTCTAGAAGCAATCCAGAATGTCAGTGAACAGACCCCCGTTGAATCCAGTTCCTTGTAGTCGCTTCTTGTTCTTGTATTCACCTATGAGGTTTTGTGTGATACATTAGGGGTATATCGCATCTGACTAACATGTCAATTAGTCGTGTGATTGGCAAACTCCCCCAAAGGGTCACATTACCATGTCTGAAGTTCATGGAGATTCAGAGCTCGTTCCATCGGGCCCTGATCTAGATTATCCCCTTGCTCTGGCTCCACGACAGGTAACTTTGCGAGATCGGGTTACGGTTGCGACCCTGGTCCCTTTTGCATCAGCAGATGAAGTACCCCGGGCTCTAATGAAGTATCTCTCTGATCAATTCAACAAAGAGATCGAAAAGGGAGATACATATGCTATGACAGAGCCAATTCCATTGGCCCAGTTCGGACGATATTGGTTTTCGAACTTTGGTGTGGTCATGCTTACTGGCGATATCGAGAGTGCTGAGCAGACACATATCATGGACCGTGCTGGAGCCAATTGGACCAAGCTCTGCCTAGGTGGCTTTCACATTCGGCCCAATTATCCTGGTCGTAGTAGTCATGTCTGTAATGGCACTTTCATTGTCACTGATGCTGCTCGAAATAAGGGCGTGGGTAGATTGATGGGTGAATCCTATCTGGAGTGGGCACCTCGACTAGTGAGTTATTCGCCGCAATTGCTTCAAACGGGCGATGAATTAACGTTTTTTCAGGGATATACATATGCAGTCTTCAACCTGGTATATGAGTCTAACGTTGCCTCATGTCGCCTGTGGGATTCCCTTGGATTCAAACGGATTGGCCGAGTCCCCGGTGGAGGCAGTATCAAATCCCAACCTGGAGAGTTTGTCGATGCAATCATCTACGGCAGAGGCCTTAGTTTGGATGGCGAGGACTCTGTGTCCCAAGATCGCTTTGAGAAAATCCGTTATTATTTGAAGCATGGGAAGTACCCTCGTGGTGCTGATCGAGCCGAAAAGAGTCGGCTTCGCAGTGCAGCGACTCATTATAAACTTCTTGGCGGGGAGAATGGGGAGCCTGAGAGGCTGATGCTGAAGGATAAAGAGGTTGTGTCAGACCCGCAACAGCAGTACGATATCGCCCAAGAAGTTCATCTCAAGCAGCATGCTGGAATCAACAAAACTACGGCAGCGATTGCGATAAAATACCATTGGGTACGAATCAAAGAGACTGTCAATCGCGTGATTCGAGACTGTCCACAGTGCAAAGAGACTCTCAAGGCGCCTCCTATCCCAGGGAGCAAAGACGATGACCAATCACCCCCGGAAACAATGTCTGGCATGGATATGGATAGCGCAATGGATCATCACTCGAAGGAACCGGTCAATGTCCCGCAGGCGATGGACGAAGCACCTGATGAGCCTCCCAGTTACAACCCTCTTATGCACCAACCCATTCCTGCAGCCATGCCCGGCACAGTCCACCCTATGGCTGGGTTCGCACCCATGCCTCTCGACCCCCAGATTATGCAACTACACCAACAGCTCCGACGCTATCAGCAACATAACCCTATGGCGGCCCAGTTCGCACCAGGGCCGCACAACCTCGGCATGTCAAGCTTTGACGATGCAATGCGCTACCATACAGCGAGCAATGCCTATCAAATGATGGTAGATGACGGCTCGGATCCATTTCGGCAAGATGTGCTGGGACTTGTGAACCCACCACCGCACGAGCTACAGCATGATGCTGAATTACTCGCTAAGTTCGAGTATGGAAGTCCCTCAGACGGGAATTATGACTTTACGTGAACAAGCCTCAAATTTTTATCCCAGCTTTGTTATTTCGGGGGGATTTATCTTATTTCGGATTTATTTTGTCTTACCCTTATTTTTCTTACTTTTATCCTTCTATTGTTCTATTGGCGTTGAGGCATCTGAGATACCGCTGATGCTCCACCACTATTGTGCCGTGGACAGTGAAATGACGCTTTATGCTACATAGACTATGCTTCTCTTTAGGTACATTATTCGAATGAAATATCTCAATATATATCATAGAAACTCTATATCAATTTAAATCGTGTATATCTCTTAAATGCGTAGGGTTGAGGAGCCCTGATTGGTCACCGCCTTGCGCGACTGGGGGGTTTTGGGGAACAGGAGCTCTCTAGGAAATTTTGGCAGATCAACCCCTCCGACCTTTCGACTCACCATACCCCTTTTCTTATTTCTTTTATTTTTTTATTGAACGGTTTCGTGTCCGATTACCGATCTAATCATGGCCTTCAACGGCCAAACCCCCACGATTGTCGTGTTGAAGGAGGGTATGTGTTGTCTCCAGTGCGGGCAGTTTTGTTGGTGGGTTTCTGCTAACTACTGCTGCTTTCCAATCTACAGGCACCGATGCCTCTCAAGGAAAGGGTCAGATTATCTCCAACATCAACGCCTGTGTCGCAGTGCAAGGAACAGTCAAGAGCACTCTCGGTCCTTACGGTGGTGATCTCCTGCTTGTGGATGCCAATGGCAAACAGACCATTACAAACGATGGAGCCACAGTGATGAAGGTGCGTCTTGCTACTGATGCAAATATATGACCGGAGGGAGTCAGTGATTCTGACTTGCGTGTATTCGATAGCTTTTGGATATTGTGCACCCGGCCGCCCGCATTCTCACAGATATCGCTCGGTCCCAAGATGCCGAAGTCGGTGACGGAACAACCTCCGTAGTTGTCCTGGCTGGTGAAATTCTGAAGGAGGTGCGAGACCTCGTTGAGAAGGGTGTCAGCTCGCAGACCATCATCAAGGGTCTGCGGAGGGCGAGCGCCATGGCAGTCAACAAGGTTAAGGAGATTGCGGTGGACACGATGAATGCCTCAGTCACCCAGGAGAAGAAGGTCGAGACACTAAGACGGTTAGCCGCAACAGCCATGAACAGCAAGCTTATCAAGCGGAATTCGGACTTCTTCACAAAGAGTGAGGATCCCCTACCTAGTGGTTGCAATTTTGTCCCAAGGCTGACAAGATGTTATCATAGTGGTTGTGGATGCGGTACTTTCGCTGGACCAGGACGACCTCAATGAGAGGTTGATTGGTGTCAAGAAGGTTACCGGTGGTGGTCTCCAGGATTCGCTTTTCGTTGACGGTGTCGCCTTCAAGAAGACTTTCTCCTACGCTGGTTTCGAGCAGCAGCCCAAACATTTCGAGAACCCCGGAATCGTGTGCTTGAATGTCGAGCTGGAGCTTAAGAGTGAGAAGGACAATGCGGAAGTCCGTGTCGAGCAGGTCTCGGAATACCAGGCCATCGTCGATGCTGAGTGGCAGATTATCTTCAACAAGCTCGAGGCTATCTACAAGACAGGAGCGAAGGTCGTGCTTAGCAAGCTGCCTATTGGCGATCTCGCCACACAGTACGTTTTTGCTCTTTGTTATGGGGTATGTGTCCTGACACTAATAATTTGATTTGCAGGTACTTCGCAGACCGAGACATCTTCTGTGCTGGCCGTGTGGCCTCTGATGATATGGACCGTGTTTGCCAGGCTACCGGAGCCGCAACCCAATCGACCTGCACTGACATCCAAGAGCGCCACCTGGGTACCTGTGGCGCGTTCGAGGAGCGCCAGATTGGCGGAGAGCGTTTCAACTTGTTCTCCGACTGCCCCCGCGCTAAGACCTGTACTCTTGTGCTGCGTGGCGGCGCTGAACAATTCATTGCGGAGGTGGAGCGTAGTCTTCACGATGCTATCATGATTGTCAAGCGCGCTCTGCGCAACACAACCATAGTTGCTGGCGGTGGTGCTACTGAAATGGAGTTGTCGAGCTACATGCACCGGTTTGCCGACCGTAACGTCCCGCACAAGCAGCAGGCCGTCGTCAAGGCATTCGCCAAGGCCCTGGAGGTTATTCCCCGCCAATTGTGTGATAACGCTGGCTTCGACGCTACAGATATCCTGAACCGCTTGCGTGTGGAGCACCGCAAGGGTAACACCTGGGCTGGTGTCGACTTCGACAACGAGGGCGTCCGTGACAACATGTTGGCCTTTGTTTGGGAGCCTAGCCTGGTCAAGGTCAATGCTATCCAGGCCGCAGTGGAAGCTTCTTGCTTGATCCTGAGTGTGGACGAAACGATAAGTAAGTGGCCTCTTAACTAGTTTTTACTTCCCATCCTTCCCATCCTTCCCATCCTTCCCATCCTTCCCATCCTTCCCATCCTTCCCATCCTCCACATCATGACTAACCCCTATTTTCTTATCAACAGAGAATGAGGAGTCGGCTCAACCCGGTCAACAGCGCGGTATGCCGCCAGGTGCCGCTCAGCGCGCCCTCCGGGGCCGTGGCCGTGGTATGCCCCGACGAGGATAAACGAGTTTGACTAGAACTGGATGATGCTCGATGATATTTCCCCCCCAAAAAGAAGGACACCTGCATGATTGAAGGTCACGAAGCAGTTAAAGCGAACTCTGCTCTGGCCTTAGTGGCTTCGTAGCCGGTGTTTGTGAGATGAATATTGAATATGAAGTACGGGAGAATAGAAGACGAGTTGTTAGAGATAACCCGACTTGACACAGTCTTTCCAAGTACATACAATACAAACATAGTCCTCATGAAAGTATTGCTGCATTGGAACTTGGTTAATTCCAGGTGATATATCAGATCCATTTCCCTTCCGAGACCGAGCCGATCCGAGCATATACGATGCAATCTATACGATGGAGTCTTGTAGTAGGGATCTTCTTAAGGGGCCTTGAATACACGGAGTACTCCGTACTATTTGCTTTTCTCTTAGTTTATTTGGAATATATGCCTAGCTAGTTACTCCGTATATTTCAGCCCTTAGCACATCTTATTGGCTAGTTCATTTCCGACGCCAAGGCAGTGCTATTGAATGTCCTTGAGCCGAATGACGTGCAGAATGATCTATCTCGTTTATATGATCTATATTGTTTATTTCTCCTTATTCAATATCGCATATAAGATCATAAAAAGTAGAAACATCCAATAATGTTAAGAGTGAAGCCCAATGACGGGGATCTTGGGCTACAAGACAGGGGTTGATCGGGGCTGCCGATACACGCATGTCAGATATAAAAGTCAGTCCAGATTACGTTGATTTTCCTGTTTTTTTTCCTATTTGAACTAATTTCCCCCTCTTCTTTTATTGTTTTGATTTTGATCTGTGACTAGTGTCTAGTCCTAATCCGAAACAGCCTTATAAGGAAATAGTGGACGCGAACTGATAAGTGTAAGTGGCGATTTCTAAGCCTGAAGATCCCCTTCCAAAATATCTCTTGAATCTTTATTGAATCTTTAAATCCCCGAACACGAACTTTTTGACTTGATCTTACACGCTTTGGATATTTTGCTTTCATAAATTTACCTTGTCGCACTCTTCAAGGCTTGGCGGCTGCCGTATTTCCGATCTGTGCCTTGAATCTCCCCTTCTCCACATTCAACATCGCGTTCTGTCTACGTCTTTGAGTTTCGCTTGATTCCTCATCCAGGTGGACTTGGACAGTTCCTCGGATGTCTTACTATCCACCCTACTCGGGCGCGCCGGGATATCCCCCGCAGCAGCCGTCATATCCCCCGCAACAGCAGTACCCGTACGCCATGCTTATCCTTTTGCTCTTTTGTGAATATACCCGAGAGTCTAACAAAGATTTGATTGCAGACAAATGAATCACCAACAGCAGCCATCTTATGGCGGCTATCCTGGCCAGTCCTACCACCAGCAGCCGCACCAACAACCGCCGCAGCAATCCAACCCGTACGGTTACAGCCATTCGCCCCAGCAATCTCAGTCCTATGGCGGGCCGCCTCCTCAGCAAGGTTACAATGTATGTTATGATGAGTTTTGCGTCGGATATACACGCAGTTGACATGTATCACTCATTTCCAGGCCCCGCAATCTGGGTACAACCAACGCCCACCCTCTGGGCAACAAATGCAAGGAAGACCAGGTATGCCTACCATTTCCCAAGCCAGAATCACATTCTCAGCAGTGAAAACTAATAATGCCCAAATTCAGCCTACGGCCAAAGCGGCGGTCCGCCTCCCCCTCCCACCAACCCCGTCGCCTTCGGTCACGGTGCTCCCCAAGGCTATAGCTTCCAATACTCCCGCTGTACGGGTAAGAGAAAGGCATTGTTGATTGGTATCAACTATTTCGGTCAGAAGGGTCAACTGCGCGGATGTATCAACGATGTCAAGAACATGTCGACCTACTTGAACCAAAACTTCGGCTATGCGCGCGAGGACATGGTCCTCTTGACCGATGACCAGCAGAATCCGATGAGCCAGCCGACCAAGGCAAACATTCTTCGGGCTATGCATTGGTTGGTCAAGGACGCGCGCCCCAACGACTCGTTGTTCTTCCACTACTCTGGTGAGTAACCATACCTCAATCGCTTTTATGCAGGCGAACTAATAAGAATCCAGGCCACGGCGGTCAGACACCCGATTTGGACGGCGATGAAGATGATGGGTATGATGAAGTTATCTATCCGGTCGACTTCAGAGTTGCTGGCCATATCGTTGATGACGAGATGCACCGCATCATGGTGCAGTCTCTGCAAGCTGGTGTCCGACTTACAGCGATCTTCGACTCCTGCCACTCTGGCTCCGCTCTGGATCTCCCCTACGTCTACTCCACCTCCGGTGTGCTCAAGGAGCCCAACCTGGCCAAGGAGGCTGGCCAAGGCCTGCTTGGTGTGGTATCGGCATACGCACGTGGTGACATGGGCGGCATGATGTCAACCGCTATGGGCTTCATAAAGAAGGCCACCAAGGGTGACGAAGTGTATGAACGCAACAAGCAGACTAAGACTAGCCCCGCAGATGTCATCATGTGGTCCGGTAGCAAGGATGACCAGACCAGTCAGGATGCAAATATTGCCGGCCAGGCCACTGGTGCCATGTCCTGGGCTTTCATTGCCGCGCTTCGGAAGAACCCTCAGCAGAGTTATGTCCAACTTTTGAACAGCATTCGTGACGAGCTTGAGTCCAAATATACCCAGAAGCCACAGCTGAGCTGCAGTCACCCCCTAGGTAAGATTCTTGGGTTACTTAGCCGCAATCAAATTCTGACAACCGTTACAGATACCGACATCCTTTATGTGATGTAATTGCATTTGGAAATGAAGACAAGGAACGATGCTTGTCTGGCTTTCAATGAAGCATGCTTTTGTGTTTAATGAATTGCCCTGTATGTAATTCCAGCCTCAGTGTTCCAATGCATATTTGGCCTGTGGGTTGGTGCACTATTTGTGATTAATCCTTGTCAATCTGTGATCTATTACTATTTATCCTCATGAAAAAAGGATGCAGCTCTAGGTAGGGCTGGAGATTAGCTCCGTGATGATAAGCATGTCTTTCTGACATCATTGTAGACAACTGCCTGCCTGGACATCTGCACAACACATGTCCTTTTGGTGTTGCAGTGTTAACCATGGAAAAAATTCCAGACAGCTTTATTATTGATCAAGATCAACGGCTACAAGCTCTTCATCAACTAAGCATGTTCAGCTCGATATTATGGGATCTGTATACGGGTCATTGGCGGGAGAACTGACCGAGTGATATGGATATGGCGCTGTACGGATTTCATATCCTCAGGGGGACCGTCATATGTCATTTTTGCCTCTGAAACCGAAGGTCCTCAACTGATCTGAACATTCGATGTAATGAGGCTTGATTCGACCCCTCAACGTTAAACCTCAAACCAAGCACAATGGAGTCAATTCGCCAACGCCGCGATATCCGTAGAAAGCTCGAGCAACAATTCGTTACAAAGCATGAGAAACCCGACGATGTCTGGACCCACGAGGGCCGCTATCATTACCGCGAAGGAGAAATCCACACGGAACCTCGCGAGCCGACTGATGATCTGGGTGCTGCACGAAGGAGGGAGCATGGCCAGCGCACTTTTATAACTGGGCCATCTCTTCAACCTCGCCATACCGTTCAATCACATATCGAGCGCGAAGGAGATGTCGAGGGCGCAGAATACGATCCGGAAATCCCAACCGAGCCACATACCATCAATTCAGCAGAGACACTAGGAAATACGGCTGATATTATGGTGACTGGCGTTGAAAGAACCCGACCGGGTGATAGTGAATCGGATATTGAGACATTGAAAAGGAAAAAACTCATTATCGTCACATTTGAAGGTGACTGTGACACCATGGATCCTCACAACTGGTCTTTCAAACGTCGGCTGTTCACAACTATCATCACTTCACTTACTGGATGTGTGATCTTCTGGTCATCCACGATCGATTCCACTGCTCTCACAACAGCCAGGGCATTGTTTCATACTAGCTTTGAGATCCAGACTTTGCCGACTAGTATGTGGTTAACTCTTTGGATCACTTGAACCCGACTGACCGAGATTGTCTAGCTATGTTTCTGATTGGTTCTGGACTAGGCGCATTGATAACAGGACCTATATCAGAAGTCGTCGGACGCAACCCCGTGTACATACCCACCATGATCGGTTTCATGTTGTTCGACATGGGCGCAGGGTTTGCCCAATCAGTGGTACAGCGAATTGTTTGCCGCGGTCTAGCTGGATTCTTCGGGTCTGCCCCGGCGCTTCTAGCAGGAGCCTCCATCGTGGACGTCTGGACACGTATTGAACGAGTCTACACCTATCCGATCTTTGCGATAATCATTTTTACAGGTCCATTGGTGGGTCCAGTACCAGGATCGTTCGCAGTCCATTCTAAATCAGTAAGCTGGCGCTGGGTGGACTGGATGACTATAATCTTCGCAGGACTTGTCTTGATCCCACTTGTGCTGTTCCTGCCCGAGACTTATGGCCCGATCCTACTATATTGGAAAGCGAAAGAGCTCCGACGCCTAACAGGCGACGACCGCTACCGGTCCCCGCTGGAGTTTAGAAAAGCCACATTCGCTCACCGCATGCGTATATCACTGTATCGACCACTTGTGCTTTTTGTCACAGAACCAATCATCATGATCCACGCACTCTCCCTCTCCCTCCTCTTCTTGATCCTGTACACCTTCATCGCGGGCTACGTCTCCATCTATGCGATAGCAAACCACTTCAAGCCGACCTCGACCTCGCTCGCGTTCCTGGGCATTGAAGTCGGAGTCCTTCTTTCTGCGTTGACCATGCCGGTTTCAATGTGGCTTCTCCGTAAAGAGATCTATCGCAGCCGTGCGAGGGGCCAAAAGCGCCCCAACCCAGAGATCAGTCTGTACATGGCTATGTTTGGTGCGCCTTTTGTCCCCATCTCGCTATTCTGGATGGGCTGGACGGCCAGGCTCTCAATTTCGTTCTGGAGCCCGCTTATCGCTTCGGTATTCTTTGGCTTTGGGACATTGTGTGTTTTCGTCTCGGGGTACCAGTACGTCGCCGATGTGTTCGAGGCACATGCTGCAAGCGCGCTTTCCTGTCTTCAAATGCTGCGGCTTGTTGCTGCCGGTATTATGGCTACGATCGCGGAAATCATGTATAAGCAACTTGGCGTTTCATGGGCGTTGACTCTCTTGGGTTGCATTTCGTTGTTGTTTGTGCCGGTGCCTTATTTACTCTACTGGAAGGGGCATAAAATACGTACATGGAGTCGGTATGCGCGCAGGAATGAACCGGTTTGAGGTATATATGTACATGGAAGCTTCGGAGATAGCCAAAATTGTAAGCATAGTGATGAATTTTACTGTCCTAGCTAGATCTTATCTGTCGATCTTGATATGTTCCCAAGGATTCAAAGCCAACCCCCACGCTATGAATGATTCCAAGTAAGCTAGCTGTATTTATAGACCTATCGTCTCTATAGTAACATACTAGGGCATATATTTAAAGGACTCTAAGCTCTCCGGAAGGCCTAACCAATGAGTCAGTTTTGGCCGCGCCTTCCATCTCCTTTTCATCGTCACCTACTGCCAGCTTTAGCTGTACTTAAGCCAATACTTTTGATATAGTCAGAAGTATAGCAAACACGAATCTGTTGCTGCATTGATAAGAGATATAATCTATTAAATCTACTAGAATAACGGGACAAAGTCATCCCTACCGTAACCACAAGCCCTAGCAACAAATTCAAACTCACGATCATTTCTGCAAGCTGGTAAGTCCGGCCACTCCCTATTTAATATATCTCGACACTATCCATCACCTGCCTTCTCATCCTCCATCTTAGCAGCGTCGAACATATACCGAAGAACTGCTCGACAGCCCATCTGCGTCCCAGCGCGTCGTAGGTAGTTCTTGGTAACCGGTGGCCACTCGCTCCGATTGTTACAGCACCACTCGAGATTTTCTGCGGTGGGAACTCTTTTCGCTTGGAGACATTCCGCCGCAATTTGAAAAATATTAACAAAGCCTTGTCGGAATGACTTGTTGGTTGCAGGGTTGTTTCGCACATCGGAATCGAGGTGCACGATTTTGTCGTCATGGTAGTCTATCCAGAAACCACCATGATCAATTCCTTCCTGGTTAAGGTCGTACATAATCTCACCCTGAAAGATCAGAAAGCTCCTCATTCGGGCGGATAGAAATCCTCCCACACCTTCTCCGCATGTACACCCGTACTGGAGACATGCTTTATCAAGCCCCAAAGACTCCTGTTTGAATAAAGGAGAGACAGGACACTGCGGTGTCGGAGTTCCCTTTGAAGTGATCTGATAAATTCAAGGTCATGAAGCCGTGTGCCTTTCGTGTTCGAATTTTCTCTAATTTCTCCTGCAATGCTTCGAGCGGGGTGTACCCGTCAATATCACGAGCCGTGTTCCAGAATTCAGCTTGGTGGGCATTCTCAAGTAGCCACTGTGTACTCAGGGGCTTGAGTTTGCAAGCTATTAGATGTAGAAGCGTAGCTGCTGAGTTGGTCACTCGATCCCAACCAATCTTGTCTGTAGCATGAGTGATGAAAAAAGCCTTGAGTTCTTCGTCCGTCAGAGTGAGAGCGGCATAATGCAGCGGCAACGGTTCACGAAGTCTTTCTATTTTCAATCTCTTTACCTCAATAGAACGATCTGTCTCATAGATAAGTCGGACCTCTTCGTACTCAAGTTCTTCAGCATGGCTGCTACGCGGGTCGAAATCAGAAGCCGCTGTAAGAGCACGAGACTGATGCTGGAGATCGAAAGAAAACGCAAAACAGCGAGATGCTCCGATTCGTCGAAAACCGCACGATCGCCAGAAGTCAATACCACCGGATTGAATTTGATTCAGTATCATCACGCGCTCTTCTGCTGATTTATCCACTAACTGCGATTCGACATCAGCTGTTAGATACCCAGGATTGACTAGAGCATGCAGAGTCCATGCTTGCTCAAAAGCCTCATTGGATCCGTAGAAACTATCTGCATATTTGCCGTCTCCCTTATTGTCTAGGGAGAACTGTTGGGCTTTTTTCAAAAGTAAAGACACTACTTTCTGGCCCAGCCCTTTTCGACGTAGTTCCAGTGTGACATGGAGTTTTTCAATTAGGAAAATAGGGCCATGATCGAGCTCATTTCCCCATACACCGGTTCCTCTTTGCACTGGGTGGTCCTTATACTTGGTCTCAACTGTTCCATATCGATCAAAGACATGGAAGGCCACATCGCACATGTCCTCGCTGGGCTCTTCCATCCTTTGCCAGAATTCAGAGCGCATATCTTCTCGATGAATATAGCGAGCCAGAGCAGTGGCGACCACAACATCAAAGTGCATTTGGCGACAAAGTTTTCCATCCACTTAAACTCGCCCACTTCCTCATCCGCCAAAAAAAGACGAATCTTCAGCGTACGTGTCGCATCACCGGAAGTGCTATACTCATGATCTTCAATATCCTCCTGTTCACAACCCGGATCTTCGCTCTCATCTTCACTCTCGTCTTCATTCTCGTCTTCACTCGTCTTCATTCCACCATTCTTCTTCCTCGGTGTTATCAAATGCATTATATTCGGAGTCATCTTTTGTCGACTCATCGTCTTCGAAGTCCATTCCTGGAAATTAAATTATTGTTAGTATAGCTCACACCTTTTTGAGATTGTACTCTCCATTTGTGTTGGTGGAAGGGAAGGAGAGCGCACTGCTTCGCTTGAGGGATACTCGGCCCCCCTCGAGTTTCTCCCCATCACTTTCCATTTTTATTATCAACCTTGCTCCCTGACCTGATTTGAGCGAGATCTTTGAGAAGAGAGGGGAGCGAAGAGACGATAGTGGGGGTCAGTCGACTGAGATAGGCCTGTAACTAAATATACCTAGTGCTAGAGGCGTACTCAGTTATACCGAGCCAAAGGCGACAATTTTTGAGCGCTAGACAAGAAGTGAAAGGGATCAAGTAGATAGGCAACTGCCTAGTACTTCGTAGGTATCCGTACTCTGCCCGTAGAAGGGAACTGTACGCCCGGAGTAATAAATACGGTACTCTTTCAAATGAGTACACTAAATTAAATACGAAGAAAGCTATAAGCTGCACACTAGTAAGAATTAGTAAGAATTATTGGTATTGGTATTACCACACTAAAAAAAGGTAAGTTCGTCGTTCCTCCTGGGAGTAGATATCATCGACTGAACCTCAGAGGGAAAATAATACATTAATAAATCATTATTACGGATTTCATAATAGGTTATTTCTCTTAACATATGTTTAGCTGTTCTTTAGGATTATGGCCCAGAAGACTTTGGACATCAACAAGACCAAACGACTTTAATTTAAGGTGCGGGAGATCAGTCAGAACTGACGAATAGTAATGAATTAACAATGCATTGACCCAATCAATTAACAATCGATCAAATCCACCCAGTTTCCCGCAGCCCTTACTTCGGGCTCAGACCCACCCCATCTAATGTATACACTCCATACTCTTCAGGTACGATCGGCTTTTCAAATGGCATTGTGAATAATATCTCGCTTGGAATTGCGATTGATATTGCGATTGATATTGCGAGCCGTGACCGGGGAGGTTGAGGACGGGGCTGGATCGGTGGGAGCAAAAAGCGCATTTTACCAAGCTAAACGTTTCGTTGATTAGGTATGTCTTTGCAAACTCAGACTATCCAGCTTACCTCGGACTTTCTCTTGTTCAATAAAACTGATCAGACCGGTGACACCATCGGCAACTTGCACATCTTCACTGTGACGGCCGACATGCTTCCGCAAGTTTCCAGTCAGGTAGGGATGCTAAGAACAGTAAGCTAAACAATCGCTCATTGGGATATGATGAATTAGTACGCATTTGTAATGCGTTTAGGGTCTGGTCCTCTCACATCGCTGACAGTGCATCCTAAATAGCGACAATACTGCTCGCCAACCTGGAGAATGACATGGTTCTTCTCATCCTATATTGTATACAATATTGGTCAACCCCTTGTATACTTCCTTCACATATCTTCCCTTCATCAAGGGTTACTTGAATGCAGTCACCTACCCTTTCGTATTCCGGCATCACAAGTTCTCCAGAAGCAACTTCACGAACGTAACAGAGATAAGCAGGGTGCTTAGCTAGGAAGGTAGGACAGCCCATGGTCAAAATATGATAGAACCAAGATAGAAGCCGAGGAAAAGAAAGTGCCTTTGAAGATTGCGAGAATTTGATGAGGCAAACCAAAATGCCACCTGCTAAAACCCTGTGGATCACCATCGTCTGTATAAGACATGGTCACGTGAATGTATCGAATCAATCCCGTTTCGACTCCAAACACGCGCCCAATCTCAAAATTTGTTGTTTGATTTGTGTAAAACATCAGCCTTTCCAATAATATGATCCATGGGTATTGCTAGAAAGCTACACTGCAACTTTTCACTGAATTTCTCCTTGTCCTGGCCATGATTTCGTTCCGTGATGTCCATCATCCTTGAAGACAACCAGCCACCTGGGTTCCTACGTCTCGGACCCACATGGTATCATGAGATTCCCTTTTTACCCCATGGATGGGAGACAACGAATGATCGGGGATCTGGGTCACTCAAGCATGCAGCAATGAAAGCACTGCTGCGAGACCAGTCAGCACTGAAGCCTGAGCTGTTTGAATACGTTCACTGGTATCTGGCAAAATATCTTTGGGATGCCCTCAAAAAGTGGTAAGTCATTATTAGAGGCCTTTTAAAACCCATTGACAGAACCCCCGAATCTGTTTTTTAAAATCTGATCATATACATAGCAACAAGCAGACAATGCACATGTGGAAAATAATGGCCAGCGTCTATCCTGCACAATTCCATGAAGTTAGTCCCTACTACTGCCTCAATGCTGGCTGTCCCAAAAAGCCACTGAGAGACTATTTGGGTATTCTCAACAGCGATGACTTTCGCTGGCGTGCAATTTTAACGATTGCAACCACATACTGTACTGCCACAGACCTGACTGCTATACCAAACATCAAGAATTTGGTTGCCTTAGACATTTACAGTGAGCCGTACACATCAAATCTGGCCCCATTGGATCCAATGGGCATTAGCAATGACGGTCTCCCCTTGCAAGATGGATTTGTGCGTGGTTGGATTGAATCAAACGCACTACAGCACCTCCGCATTCTCAGGCTCTACCACCAACGCGAACTGACCGTTGCGGCACTAAGAGCTCTGCGTGAACTGCCAGAGCTCCAACTCGTTGTGGCATACGAGTGTAAGAACATTACAGAGATGTTTGAAAAATACGATAAACCCGTCAATGGTGTCATTCCCATAAAGGGATGGTCGGCCTGCAGACTCGATTGGTTCTGGGAAACCCACGGAACGTCAAAGACAATTGATGATAATCTCTTGGCCTTGCTTCATGTGTACGAGTCTAGTCTCCAGATACCTGGAGACGAGCATTCGAGAAGACCATCCTCCCTATCTACGAATCTCCCGATTTTGGAGTTCAAACTACCAACTGTCGACCATAGTAGAAGAGACAGGATTGTTATTCGCTCTCGCTATAATGCGAAGTCGATCGTATTGTTTACTCGAGATCCTGTTAAGCAACGATTTGATATTGAGAAACAGAAACGCGCAAGGGAGAAGAAGCGGACTGAACCACCTGAAAGGGGAGACCGTCCTGCTAAGCGAGCAGTCATGAAAGAGAGGGGATCGATGGACATCTCGGAGACTTTGAATCAGTTCTTTTGATGGATTGCAGAGAACATGGGTTGAATGGCGCAATAGAGTAACACTTCTGCCCTATTTCCTTTTTTTATAACCTTTTTTTTTTAGCAATATTCTAGCATTATCTCAAATTATTGTCATTTGATTAGCACACATAAGGTTTATTACAATGATCGCAGAAGCTCTTAGGTTAGCAACGTCCATCCATATATTTTGACGAGCATTGAGGACAAATGCTTACGCATCGCATTTTAAGAACTATTTCTGACTGGTTTGTTACCTACTCGTTCCTAAAACCTTAGAAGAAAAATTGATCTGTGTCTGGGCATCTTCGGAAGTCCCATTTAGGTTATTATGTGCCATATCCAAGGTTTGAAGATGTTATCCCTTGGAACGCCATCCTACACTTGATCTGATTAGATCACGCACAAATTCGATTAGAACTTCGAGTCTTGAATTCTTTCTTGTTCTTTCATATCTAAAATTATCCCACCGAAGCTGGTATTTAATCACCCCTACTTCAAACAAGCTAGCTGATCCACAAGGTGTTTGCGGCAAAAATCCTGCATCTTCACATCTAAATTAACTTCGCTCGTGATGGAACCTCGCTCACTAGTACTTCTTGGTTCAAATCATGAAATCTCGGCTATCAAAAAGGACACAAATAGTTTGGAGGTGGTATACGAGAGGGCTATACACATTGAATGTCACACGCGAAGTGAACCGTGGGCGTACAGGCAAGCAACCTTTCAATCATATCACGAGCGAGCCATTACATAGCATCTTCTTCAATGTGTTGATAACCGCCAAAAATCCTGGAATCTAAAAAAGCTATCAACTGAGCAGATAATCGCCCCTGGTAGCACAATATCTAGAGTTTCAACTGTAATAGATTTAGTCGGGGATTGAAAAAGCAGCACATGCACAGTGGCACCAAGAGGTATATATTAGTATGTTTCGAATATGTGATAGGCTGGATCCGGTTCTCGGACCTTTAGAGCAGAAAAAACAGCAAAAAAGCAAATCCATTGGTATTTCCACCCCCGATCCCTTCCAGATCCATCAAAAGAACACTCTTACCAACACTGTCTCCAAAATTTTGGCAGCCAAAATAGTCATCAAAGTCTACGGCTCCGCTATGTCCACTTCCCGTGTTCTCGTCACGCTTCTCGAGAAGGGGTAAGCGTATGAATTTATCCTCGTTGACATTGCAAAGGGGAACCAAAAGAGCGAAGAATATAAAAAGCTCCAGCCTTTTGGCAAGGTGCCTGCACTAGATGATGACGGGTTTGTGATGTTTGAAAGTAGGGCTATTTGCAAGTATCTTGCCAAGTAAGTCTTTCGACATGCTTGTCATATATACAGGGAGATCTTTATTTGTTTGGTTAGGAAATACCCTTTTGGAAAGAAGCTCATCCCAGAGGGAGATGACGAGGCCTATGGTCGATTCGAACAAGCTTGTTCTATCGAACAAAGCTATTTCGCCGCTGCTGCTGAGACTATAGGAACCGAGCTTGTGATCAAGCCGTACGTATATCTCTTCCCATTTTATTCCTATTAGCTATCTGGGACTTACTTACATCTGTGGACAGAATGAAAGGTCTTGGTCTCCCCGACGAAATAAGGGTCGCACAAGCTGAAAAGGACCTTGATACGGTTTTGGCTGTTGATGATAAGATCTTGGCTAGTCAGAAATATCTTACCGGGAACGAATTGACTTTGGCAGACTTGTTTCACTTGCCCAATGGAGCGGCCTTGAAGGCAGATAAATGGAAGGAGGTATTCGAAAGATATCCGAACGTGGACAGGTGGTTCAAGGAATTGCAAGAGAGGGATAGTTGGGTGAAAGCCGCCACGGAGGCAGGAACGATACCATGAGAATGCATGGGAAATGGTGATTTCCACCTCTTATGGCAGAGTGTGCTCGATCATGTGTTGATCAATAAACAAAGCATATTTTTAACCTTGGAGGGTCTCTGCCAAGGTTGTTCCTGAAGAACTATAATATCAAACTGATGACCTAGAGGCTAATAGATACTAAAGGGCGAATTAGCACAGCCATGATCATGGACCTGCCTTCTACATAATGCCGATATGCAGGATTATCATTGACAGTGGAAGAAGTAAACCTGTATGTAGAAGGTGGGACTTATGGGAGTGCCTTTGAAGCAGCAACCCACCGAGGGGGACCACAACAGAGACCTTATAGCAGCATTGGAAAAAGTGACAAGTCGTACCCGATCCAAACTCCCAAGGTTCCTTGGAAGAAGGACGCTGAGGTGAGAACACACCATACTTAGGTAAGGAAGGTGGCAAGTCAATATTAGTTCTGACTCTGGCAAGTGTAGAAAAAGGCAAGAACGATGAGATTTGATCCTAGTTGAAGCAGGAGCAGACTAGACAACCATCCACGCACCCCATCCTCCCGAGGTCATTCCCAAACCATCGATTCCATCATACAAACACATCAAATGGTGTATATACAGCTGTGGCACCAAGGAGGCCAGTTTTCGATGAAATTCCCAACTTCGCCGAAGAGAATGAAATGACATTGAGGATTTGAAGCTGCAGTTGGAAGGTGTTGCAGTTCAGAAGAAAATAAAAGAAACCATAGTCATGTCGAATGCCTAAAGAAACGAAAGGCAAAAAAAGGGACTGTCCCTAACCCCCAACTGCGAACAAGGTTATCGAGTTTGTGTAGACGGTTGCCTCCGTTGCCAAGCAGCGCAATGATGCCATTGCGAACCCACCGTCTAGGGGGTTCATCCCGAAATTGTTCATTCGTTGCGCGTAGGTGTTCCGATACCAGAATTCGTCAAACAGCATGTGAAAGTGGGAAAGTTCACTAACAAGTGTAGTAGGAAGCGCCAATGGCTCGGTTTCCAGATGGTTAATCACATAATTGTGGCATGGATGAAATCCTTGGAGGCTACTGGGCCTTGATCGATCCTATCAGGTTCATGGGTATTACACCACAGGCGGCAGGCAACTGGATATCGCGTTGGAGACATCGTCTGGTGGATAAAATACACTGGGTCTGAAATTGTGTCGTGGAACGACGTCGAGCTTCAGCACTGTCAGCCAGCAGAACCAGATGTGAACGTGACATCAGGGTACGGGGAATAGAATACTCAACTACAGTGACTTGCAGCCTTGCAAACGCAAAGTGCCTCGTTCAAAAAGCACTCGATGTCATATCGTTTTGTAATTCATCTACGGCTTGATAATCTTTGAATTGGCTTTCTTGAGAGAGAGAGAGAGAGCCTCAGCAGCATCAATGACACTGGCACACTGCGAACCCGATTAATAAATCCTTGTGGTATATCCCTAGTTATACACAGAAAGGTCGTCTCCATCGCAGACATTTACACTTTCCTTGACTTCTCCCGCTGTGTAGTAAAATTGAAAGGGGAAAACTGAAAAGACCACTAGAAACACATCACAAGGCCACATAAACGGTCGATTATTCCTGTACTTTGATTGTGCCATATGTTAAAGTATGTAGATATTTGTATGTTTTAAATGGCCCGTCTAATTGCCAGTCTATTCTGCATCAGAGTCAAAGTCTGGCTCAACAACTGGGAATGTCAAAAGCGCAGCGATGCCACCCAGCCCCTCGAGGCGCTTTCCACTTTCATGATCCGAGCTGAGAATTCGCACCTCACCACCCTCAACATCGCGAACGCGGTCCACAAGTCCCACCCAGCGTTTACGCTCAGCGATATCCTGTGATCTAAACAAGCGATTCGAAACAATGAGCACGCCGCCACCTCGGCCGACAGCACCTTGTTCAACCGCGAACTCAACCTCGCGGGGACCGTATGTTGCTTTGTTGGTCTCCTTGCGCAGTTGTTCTTGGAAGTCGTCCATCAATTTGGTCTCACGGGCATACTTAGTATCAGCCAGGATGGTCTTAACTGCAGGCGACTGCAGAACCTCTGCTAGTGAATTCGTGTATCCCGATGCGGAGTGCACGACCACGAGACTGGGAAGAAGTCGCCTGAGCCCAGGAGTTGTCGTTGATGCCTCGGCTTGAATGTATTTTTGGAAGCCAGCGGCGACAAAACCGGGCGAAGCGAGAAGCACGGGCCGTACAGCTTCGTTGTTGGCGCCTGAAGTAAGACTGGTATTGAACTCCATTTGCCGAAGGAGCGTCTCGAGTGTAATTTTGAAAAACTTGTTCATTCCCTGGAGTTTGTGGTGTAAGTTTTGAACACTGCCAATAGACACAATGGCACAGCAGAAACTCACTTTATCATGATCGCCTCCTCCCTGCCGTTTCCGCGGCACAGACATCTCGATCTTTTGCTTCAATATTGTCTGGAATTGACCAATAAAGCAGATATGAGCTAGCCCTTCCTGCATCACTACTGCGACAGCCTCTGCACGGCGTTTACCGCCCTCATCCACAGCATCCTTGAGTGACTCAATTGCAATACTGTCCCACCCCGAACCTTCTCCATCTGCCCCAACCTCTTTTTCTAACGTGAAATTGCGATTCAACTCTAGATCGAGGGTATGGAATTGTCCAATTTTTGTGTGCGGTGTTTCGTTGGTAATTTGTCCTGATACATGGAGCTGAGAGCTCTGTGGGTCAAAGTCGAGATTCTTCACGCGAATTAGGAGGTTCAAATGAACGCGCGCCGAGCTCGTTGACCCGGTATCCTGAACTGTTGTGACTCGACGAATTGCACTAGCTCGAAGGAGATCGCCTGGTCGGATCAGGTTGTATGCGTGCCACTAGATTTGTCGAATGGTACATTAGATGACTGCGGGGTGCTGAGACGGAAATTGAGGACTTCGATACCATGTCTTCTGGCTCGGTTGGGCACAATGTCACCGCCCCAGAGCCATCGTGCTCAATTTTGTTCTTGATACAACGCATTTCTGCGGTAATATTGCGCGGTTATAGGCCGGGCGTTTAGGAAGGTAGAATGCGATAAAAGCGGTTTGGATGTTGTTATTGCGATGTCGTCATATGTCGCCTAAGAATGCGCAAATTGGAGTGATAACAGGGTTGTGTAAAAACAGATCAAAGCTATGAGAGCTTCGTAATGCTCCTATGCAAAGGGATATTTGAGCAAATCAACCTATCATCTGAGAGCCTTGACGATGTTGAACTTGCCAGACTCAACCCCACCACATAATCTGCCGTTCATCACCGCCCGGACATGCTCCAAGAATCTCACTTGTTCTGCTAATGCGTTTATTTAGGGAGAATAATTTTGATATTCGATGGATAGTCTGAGACTAAAAAATTGCTGAGTACTCTAAACCTTTGAAACATATGATATCAATCACGAACATCGCCCTGCGCTGCCACATTCAAGAGTCATGCCTTATCGATAAGACAAACCCTAATCAGATCAGATTGGGGCAAAGTTGACGTCAAAGCTGCAGAGCAACCTCCAGGGCTTGGAGGGGTCTGAAGATTTTATTATTGGTAAGCTCCAGCCAATCTGAATTGACCTATCAGCGTAGACCCTGGTGGCCGTCAAGTTACTCATACCTGCCCCACGTTGATTGATCAGCCATTAATATGCTGGATGTAGTCCCCGATATCGTCGTATAACTCCACTTTAGATGGCGTCAAGCTCTAAGAAACGGAAATGACTGGACCGAGGTGGTCCGTGGGTGTCGGAATCTTTATCTATTAAGCTTAGCCCCCTCACTTGCCTTCTTCTACTTTTCAACCATCAAAACAATTATCATGGCTCCCCTTTCGCTGCAGTCTACCTATAAGTTGGTCTCGGGCTACGAGATCCCCGTTGTTGGATTCGGAGTGAGTATACTGACACTTGGAATGGTGATACATATTTACATAAACTGACATTTCTCTTGGGAGCTAGGTTTACCAAACGTATGACCATTGTTGTATGAAAAAGCCCCGCGACAGATTATTGACTCATTCTTGACTAGTCCCTCCGATGTCACCGAGAAAGTAACCCGCAAGGCCATTGAGCTCGGATACCGCCATGTAAGCAACTGCACAACCCAAGCAACAAGTGTTCCCAGATTTGACCGTCCTGTTACAGGTCGACAGCGCCAAAGTCTACGGTAATGAGCTGGAAAGTGCCGCCGCCATCCGCGGATCTGGACTTGATCGCTCTAAGATCTTCTATACTAGCAAAGTTCCCTCGAAATGCATGGGATACGAGAAGGCAAAGAAGGCCATTGAGGAAAGCATCGCCGCGGCAAACCTTGGCTACATTGACCTGTACGGAGCTCCTTCTTCTCGGAAAACAATGCGAATTAGCAAACTAACATTGTGGCCATTAGTATGTTGATCCACGCGCCTTACGGCGGTAAGGAGGATCGTCTCGGCACATGGCGCGCACTCGTGGAGGCCCAGAAGGCCGGCCACGTTCGCTCGTTGGGTGTCTCCAACTTTGGTATTCAGCACCTTGAGGAATTGGAAGAGTACATCAAGAGTGGAGCGGGTGGACAAATCACTGTCGGCCAGTATGAGATTCACCCGTGGTGCCCGCGTGAGGATATTGCAGAGTGGCTGCAGAAACGCAACATCATTGTTGAGGCATACTCTCCCCTCGTGCAAGCAACTCGCATGAAGGAGCCAGTTCTGCAGAACCTGGCTAAGAAGCACGGTAAGACCGAAGCTCAGATTTTGATTCGCTGGAGCTTGCAGAAGGTATGTGTACATGATTTTCTTGTTGTGCCCGACAGTGGTTATTAACCTGTTTTTATTAGGGATTTGTTCCCCTTCCCAAGTCAGTGACCGAGTCTCGCATTCTAGAGAACTCGCAGGTCTTCGACTTCACACTGTCGGATGAAGATATGGCTAGCCTCAAGCTCAACACGTACGAGCCCGTGTGCTGGGATCCCGTCCGCGACTGCAAGATCTGAATGACGTCAACGAATTAGCAAAACCTAACGTATAGATTAAATTAAGGAATGAAATGCTATCTAAAAAAACACACTTAGAGATCAATAACCTTGGAATAAATTGTTAGAAGGGTCCAACCCAATTTGGTAATTTGTTGACCTTCCGCGGTCGGCACAACGTATCACCGCCAACCAAAAAAAGAAGCAACACTTCCAACCCTTCCTGGTATATACAACCCACCACAGCTCTCCATCCCCATGATCGTACAAGCAGCAGGCAGTCGCTGCCACGGTTGCCCCCACAATGCCGGATGAGCCGCGTCGCATCATCTTGGAGAAGTCCAAGACCGTTAAACGCCGGTACCAGCGCAGCGACCAACGATTTAAGTTCACCGCATCCCAGATCGCGCGGCTAGATCGCGAGGAGGAGCGAGAAAAGAAAGCAAAGAAGCTACGCGAGAAGGAAAAGAAACGCATTGCCAACAAAAAGAGGAAAGCTGAGCAGGAGGCGCAGGCCCGTGAGGAGCGCAAGCGTCGCGGCATCCCAGATCCACATGCAGCACGCGTCCCGTCGAGTCAGCCGCTACTGTCAATGTTCCTAGGGAAGCGACAGTCACCTGCTGCACCGGAACCTGCGCCTACAGTTACGGAGGTCGAATCATATGATGACAATTTGGGGAGCGTTGGTGGAGATACAGAAGCTGACTCGGATGCCTTTGACGACCTGGATGAGGTGTTAGGAAATGATCTATCTGGGATTCGAGATGCAGGCGTCCTGGAAGAACCCGAAGGCCAGGATACTGGCACCGCGACTCGGGCTTCATTCAAGGAAGAAGATGAGTTCTCGGACTGCTCGGCGTTTGACGACGAAGAGGTTGTGAAAAAAGCCGTAACGGCTGCTACCACACGAGCGACTGACGAAGAAACGAAGAATACCTCTGTACCCAATGAATCGCCCTCCCTACAACCTCCCCCGGCTGTGCTCACGCTAGAATCATCTTTCGGGGAATCGTTCCAGTTTGACCCCGCCGATTTCCTTGAAGCTGAAGCGGCTATTATCACACAAACGAGTACTCACGAAACGGGAGACCATTCCCCACCTGAGGAAACTTCCATTTTACAACCTCCTTTGTCTGATCAACCGCGCAGTATACCCACATTGGCGTCTTCTTTGGGAGATTCCTTTCGAGACGAGACCGCAGATTGGATTGAAGAAGCATTTGCACATGGAGGCGGTGACCCTTTTGATACACTCAATAAAAATCCCTCTCAATGATTTCATTTGAACTCGGTAAATTGCTTTGGCAGCATTTTGTCGCATGTTTTGCTTTGGACTACGTACCTACATTGTCCAACCTGGAAGTCTTGGCGTTGGATCGGGTCTGGTCCGACAGTCGGGTGGTATCCGCGCTGTTCGGATATACAAGGCCCTTTCGGTTCGGGAGATTCAATAATTTGGAGTAGAAGTTTAGAGCTCAATTGTTCCGACGGAATGATCAGAAATGGTCTGGAGGATCCATAACACTGTACATTTGTATCAAAATAGTATTGTAGCCAGGATCTTATCGGGAATGACGTTACACTTATCATTTGTATAGATCTCCCTGCCCGCTTCTCTATTCCTTTACTCTTCCCCATTCCTTCATACTTTGTCGTCTTAAAGTAATCATCATCCACAATGCCGTTCGTCCAAGCAAACAGCCACCGTCTCTATTATGCCGACTCCCACCCTGCCGGCCCTCCGACCCCAACCGGCCTGACCTTCATCTTCATTCACGGTCTGGGCTCCTCACAAAACTACTACTACCCAGTAACCCCGCATCTCACAAAACTCCACCGCTGCATCACTATTGACACATACGGCGCTGCCCGCTCACCGTACACTGATGGTGTAATCACGATCCCCGGCATCGCAGAGGATGTCATCGGCGTACTAGACGCGCTACGAGTCCACAAGGCCGTCGTAGTCGGACATTCAATGGGCGGCCTCGTGGTGACAGAGCTAGGCGCGCGGTATCCCAATCGCATACAGGGCGTTGTGGCCATTGGGCCAACGCACCCGTCGGACATGTTGGTGACAGTGATGAATAAGAGATCGGAAACTGTTCTCGAGTGTAAGTTTCCCCTATTCTGCCTGCTTATCTGATTTTTTAGTTTCTATTTTATTATCTCTTTTCAAAATTAAATAGAAATGTGCTAAATTGCCTGCAGCTGGAATGGAGCCAATGGCAAATACCGTCCCCTTTGGAGCTGTCGGCTCGCGCAGCACCCACCTCCAAAAGGCTTTCATCCGGGAGTTGATCCTGGGCCAGGATCCTAAGGGCTATGCCGCGCTGTGTCGCGCTATTGCTACCGCGAAGCCGGCGGACTATGCTGCTGTCAAGGCGCCTTTCCTGCTTATTGCGGGCGAGGAGGATAAGTCTGCCTCTATGGAGGGGTGCCAGCACATCTTTGATCATGTCTCAAGTAAGGAGAAGTCCCTCGAGGTATTGAAAGGCATTGGGCATTGGCATTGTATTGAGGCTTCTGACGAGGTTGGTATGTTAATTGCTAAGTTTGCGAATGTTGCGAATGCTTGAAATAGCATTGATTTAGAACGGAATAATGAATATGCCAGTAGATATGTCTGGTTATGTCAAGTATGTTCAATATGTGCAATATGTGCAATATGTCCACGGGTGCAATGCCGCTATCGTAATATATACCAAAAAATACAAATGCTACTTTAACCCCGCTGCTCGCTCATGCGCTATCGGTACCAGTCTCGAACTTCACCAACTTGACATCATAATTGAGCTCAAGAGCAGCGTTAGGATCATTCTCGCGTGGCACGAAATCCACAATAAGCGAATCTTTAACAGCAAACACCGAGTCATTATCAAGGTACTGATCCTTGCGGTCGAAGATCTGCGTTGTCAAAGGACGGTAGTTATCATAGGTAGCCTGGACAAGATATTAGCTTCTATCTCAACAGCCCAATATTGAGAAGACCACGCCAGAACTTACAATAATGTGAATGTGGGCAGGGCGGAAAGGGTGACGATCCATCAGCTCAAGAAGTTTGCCAGCAGGACCATCATTAGGTACGGGATACGGCGTCGGGCGCAGGCAATAAAACGAGTATCTGCCATCCTCGTCCGTCTTAAACTTGCCGCGCAGGTTGAACTCAACCTGCTCAGGATCCTGCTGCTCGTACAACCCGTTCGTGGAAGCCTGCCACACCTCGACCGTCGCGCCGACAAGAGGCAGCTTGGTCTGGAAGTCAACAACGCGGCCGTGCATGAATGCCATCTCGCCATCAGCGGGTTTATTCTTCACGATATCCTCGCCGTTCTCGCGGTACGGGGTATCGGCGCGGAAGAACGGGCCCAGGATGGCTGTGGCTGTGGGCGCATCCTGCGCTTCGCCAGCGAGAGTGAAGGTGATTTCGTCGACGAGGCTGTTTTGCAGTAGAACATGCGTTAGCTGGTGATCTTTGAGTTCCCTGTGGACAAGGGTTCAACTTACGATTCCAATCCAAATACATCGCACACCAGCTGTCCCTCGTTCCGCTTGTCGTCGCTCATCTGTCCTGCCCAGTTGAGCATCTTCACACCGGCCATCCACTCATCGACGGTGAGCTCCTCCTCGCGTGCAAAGTCGTGCATGTGCCTGATTAGACCGGCCATGAGCTGGCGCATGCGCGGATTGGTCTTAGGACCCATCGCGTTGATGACATTGTCTGTGAAGCTGGGGTCGAAGCGGTGCGTCATCGTTGCGCTTAGATCACTATATTGCAGTACGATATGTACAAGTGCGGCTCAAAAGTACAGAAAAAAACGGTTCAATAAAATGAGAGTATGCGATTATAGAAAACCCCGGAGACTGTTATATACCACGGTGATCCGACGGGACTTCCAAATCCGTGTCTCAACTACAGCTGACCAAAAACATGGCGGTTATTCGAGGACGACCCCATAAATCCACCCCAATGGCATGATGGGGTCTGGGGGTGTCGGATGTGCAAAACGCGCCGCGACGAGTCGTTTGGGGGATCGGAAGTAGATGCGCTTCCGATTTCCCCGCAATCGGATAGATGGAGATCTTGGCAATCTGTTTGATCAAGTCGGAATTGTTTCAAGGTTCGGATTTGGTGTTGGATATATGAGGTGGAAATGTCTTTGATTATCAAAATAAATCTCGTACAGATAGGAGCTTCTGTCTTAGATGAGTTGTCTGGTGTTTCATACCTCAAGGGCAAGCTCCAAACAGCTTCCGAAGGCTCAATACCTTCAATACGATGTATAAATTACAATTTATATGACTTTAGCCGTAGAAATTAGTGCTATAGTAGCCTTGATATCACCCACCAGCTTAGGACAGTGCGTTCTTCGGGGCTAGAGGCTCGGGGCCGGTGTTATTTAGGTCTAAGTCCGAGGTGGGGGCAACTTAGGATGGGAAGGATTTCATACTAGATGTGTAGATCATTGGAGAATCATATGTATTCACCGTGGTCGTCTGTGTTGGAATGAACAACAGAAGCCTGGCTGGATACGATAATCCCTACAGTTGAAGTATCATATCTCCACCACTCATCGTCGGCCCTTGGGATTGCCTTTCTTCGTAAGATTCTCAGGAAGTACCTGTAAAACCTCACCGCGCTCCCAGATTTTACCTAGCCCAGCCTTGCGCTCCACTACCACATCGAAAAAGTCCAGCGAGACGAATTTCTGTACCTCACCCTTCTCAGCCTGCTCACCCTTCTCAGCCTGCTCACCCTTCTCAGCCTGCTCACCCTTTGCGACAGCTATGCCCTCACTAAGAATGACCCCGTTCTCACTGCGCCAGAACGGTACACCTGCTGCCAGCGCCTTGCGCAAATCGATATAAATCAAGACTTGCGCATCGCGCCGCATACCTGAGATGACCCCAGAATCGTCAGGCTTAGATTTACCCTGCGCGGCATCACCAGTGGGAGCAGCAAGCACCGATTCTAATGACGGGCCAGTGGCGAAGTGGATGTGGTTCCGGCCCATACAGCGTAGTCCACCGGATTGTAGAATCGCAGGCCATGTCGCGTGGAATGTGCCGTGGACGACGGTATCAGGTAGTTTCGATTCGTCAGATAAAGAAAGCGGCTCTAGGAAGGAGGCGGCATCTACAGTCTTGATGCTGTGGCCTTGCGTCGCGCGAATTAAAAAGTTCGACGGGTCGGTATCTTTCACGGATAAAGCTTGGTCGGTGGCTGTTTGTTGGGCTTCGCTCGTGGCGGGTGCGGACTCCAGGACCGATGTCGCGGGTTGGTTTTCACCTACGACGGTGTCGGCATCGTGCGCTACATTTGGAGCTGTCACTGGTATTGTCGTTGCTTGGGTTGTGGAGTTGGTGGGTTGTGCGGATGGAATGTGAAGGAGGGCGAAGCGCTTTTTATCGGACGACTCGACGGCGTATAGAATCTCGGGAAAGGTGACTTTTAGCGATTTGAGTTTCCTCCAATTTAACTAGGGATAGTCAGTATATCGCAGGTTATTGAGAATGGAAAAAGCTGCGTACCACATCCGGCACGCTCGCATAACCCTGCGCATTCATCTTCAGCCCTTCCTTTTCGGCGGCATGGCGCAGAAGCAAGCTTAATGCTTTAGAGACTTGGACATCGCGACTTTGGCCTTGACCGTGTGCGCGGCCCCGCTTGTCTTTGTTGTCCTTTGGGTGAGCCATATTGTTGAGCAAGAAATTTGATGAGAGTCGTGGAAATAATATTCTGGTGGGGCAGTTGACTATAAGCTTGCAGTTGATGCGGCTCTACGGAGTACAAAGAAATCCTTGAATTGACCTATGAGTCGCAATATGACTCGCACCTATTATTTACCTCTTTTTTAAAAACACAAATACAGGCCAAAGGAATACAATTCTCTTTAATTATTATTATCACATAAGTCGACTCAATTGGGTATAGAATATCACAGAAAGACAGGCCATGGGTCTAGTCCACGGCTTAGAAGAGGCAATGAAAATCAATAAGACCATCATCGATCACAGATGCAATTACACTCTGCTACGGGACAAATTTTGTGCCGCTTAAACCATTCGCTAGCATGATTTGCATGGAATCCATGATTGCAATGGATACAAAACACTACGAACCGCCGCATCACCTCAGTCTCGGTGGGCTTGCGAGAACCCGCCTCAGCATCGGCAGCAATACTGGCGCGAGACATTGGGTCTGGCGAACCCAGCCACAAGGTGCAGACGCCACAGCGGGGCATATGTCGACCACAACGCGGGCACAAAGTACCAGACATGACTGGTGCTGCGAGTGGGTTACCGGTAGTGGGATGAACAGTCTCTGCATTCTTGGTAGATGGGGAGACCTGCGAGGAAGCGTCGTGCTGGGTGAGCGGGCTCGTGCAGTAGTTACAGGTGAGGCTGACTTGCTGCGGCGGTGGCGGCATGAGTTTGCGACCGTCCGCAGTCACGGCGAAACGACGAGAGCCGACGTCGAATCGGGCTCGCTCGAGTTGGAGTTTCCATGAGTTCATTTGCCGCCGGTATGTCTCGCGCCAGGCCTCAAACTGGACAACGTGTTTTTGGTTGTTAATCAGCCGCGGCACGGTATGGCTCATTGCTAGCACGGGGGTTTGGACATCATTGAATTTCCCAATATACGATTGGAACAGACCCATGGCTAAATGGCCTAAGCCCGTGAGTACAACTCCTTCAATATCGCCTTGAAGAATTGCTTGGCGGGTAGCATCCTTCAGATACTCAGTTAGTTCGTCATCTGGAAGCCAGCGTAACGCAACTTCTACGCGGTACTTCAGAGGTAGCGTGGTTTCCTTGATAACTGCATTCCAATCGCCTTTGCTCACAAGGGCTAGGATCGCCCGAGCGTATGGATCTGTGAGCTCCTTCGCGATTTCCGCACAGGTATCCTCCCAGTCTGTGTCGTCGTTATCCCCCTTGGAAGCACCAGCGATCGCCATGGCCAGCAGTTTATGAGCCTGGGTGGGGTTGTTGCTTCGAAGCCCAAGGTAAGCTAGCTTAGGCTCATCTTGGAAGACAGCCAGTGCAGCAGCTTTAGTATGCTGGTCTTCGCCAGATAAAGTTTTCACTGACTCCTCTAGCTCACGGTAAGATTGTGTTGCACCACAGAGGCGAAGGCAGAGTCGGCGATGGTCGGGGTAAGCCGTGTCGCAACCTTTTGTCTCTGGGAGGTTCGACTGAACTGCCCAAGTTGCTACTGCATCCGCAACTGATTTAGGATCAGCCCTCGTGGCACTGATACAACGTTGTTCGAAACCATTGCCTATTCTCAAATCAGTTTCGAGAGAAACTTCAAACTCAAGTAAAAGAACACACCTAGTTCATTATTCCAAACATTGCTCACACCAAGATAATTCAGGTCCAAGCCATTAACAACCATTGACTTCCCAGAAGACTCAGTTCGAGCACCTAGAAAATGTATTAGACATGTGTTCGCGATCCCAAGGAAAAATGAAAAACTCACGTTCAATCCAGCCCCAGAAATCTTGTAGAGCTTGGTCATCAGATGCCACCTTTTTGTTTCGAGCCTCATCAAACAAATAACCCTCTTTGCACCGGGATTGGTTGATTGCGCATAGTGTGAGCGCTTCTTTCGCAGTAAGAGGAACACCCATCACCCCGAGAGCCATGGCGCGTTCCCGATTCTCATGGCTTGGGACAGGCTCGCAATCGAGATGCTTTGACACGAACAGCTGGCCATTTGAGTTTTCCCCATGCTCTTGCGAGGTCGAGCAGACGCGCGACCTAATGTTCCCGATCAGGTCTGAGATGGGTGAAATATGCTCAGACAGTGGGTGAATCGATCGGACATCTGAGTCATTTGATGAGATGCCACAGGCCAATATACTGCGTGAAGATAGATCAATTGGTGCGCACGGGGGCCGCGCGGTGATGATCTGTGGCTGCCCATTGCCGTCAAGTGCGATAGCACTTGGTTGAGCTGACAAGCTTAGATTTAGTGAGTCGAATGAAACAATGCGGTCTTTTTCTTTATAGCCACGAGTCGGGTTATCAAAGGGTATATATATGTCCCGCACGTGCTTGGTATACACCGATTCTGGGTAATTTCTGGAAGATCCCTGACCCAAAGTCTCGTCTATTGAGGAGCGATACTCCTCCGGCAAATAGTCCTTGGCAATGTCGTAATTTTTGAAATGACCGCTGCTGGACAGCGCGGAGAGACTGCCTCGGTTCGTTCTTGAGAACCGCAAGCTCCAGATAGAGGACTTCGAATGGAAAACATTCTTGAGTTCCAAAGCAGGCGTCGCTTGACCTGTGTCCGTGGCGCTGGCAGAAGAGCCCATTGATGGAGTTGCCAGCCGAGTTCCAACGCGACGGTCCCAGACGCAGATTGTGCTTTCACTCGATGGAATGCAAGACGCAATATAGTTCTCATCAAGCCAATCGATCGCCAGATTATGGACACATCGAGTGGGAAACTGCAATGATGGATTCCCAGGTCCCTCTATAACAAATTAGCTATGCTTTTGCAGATATAAAGCCAGGAAAGATGAACCTCTTAGATCATAGATTCGAACAAACTGGCCTTTGACGCCAGTTACGATCGTATCAGGCTGGTCTCGGAAGAACTTGATACTGGTGATAGGCTCTGAGCTGGCAAGCTTCCGCAAGGGCTCAGTAAATCCTTTACTTCCACCAGCAGGACTGAGTCGTTGGTTGACATCCCAAATGTTCAAGCAAAAGTCGTTCCGAACGCGATCGAGGCCCGATGCCACAAGACCGTGTGCACTAAATGCAACCGCGTTGCAGTACCGTTGATTGCGCACTGGGAATGAAAGAGACTCCTTGGAATCCCCATCAAGGCGTAGAATGGTGGCCTCTCCAGACGACTGGCCCACGGCGATCAGGTTCTCATTTGAACTAGACCAGTCGAATGCACGAAAACCAGGCACATTGGTCAGGGTAGAGAGCACTTCATGGCGTATATTCTTGCCGTCAAACCCAGTCACCCTACACAGACGAAATGATTTCCCTGTGACGTCGACTGACAGGAAGCGTTGTTCAGTGGCCGACGAGGTCGGGGACCAGCGAATGGCGGACTCCATGCTGGCCCTTTTACTAAGCTCAGTTCAGTAATTAAATCAGTGGCATGAGTAGATCCAGAATGCCATATACACAAATTGAAGCGGACAATTGGAGTAAATCAAATCAATGCGACAAGAGAGGGCCGCGGTGATGGTGATCAAGGAAGACGCTCATTGGTTGGTGCCAATCTGGGGACGGGCCGATAAATCCGCCGATATCTTTTTTTCTTATCGTTTTTGCTGTAGCTTCAACCTCTTTTTTCCCTTTCATTTCTATTAGACCAACAAACATGTCTACAGACGCTAAAAGCCACAGCGACAGGGCAGCTCCCTCAAAGAGGAAGACTCGGGATGGGTCAGAGGATGTCCCCCCGGCCCGCAAAAAGGTCCACCGCAAAGGAGACAAAGCAGATGACCAAATTCAATTCGTGGACTTCACCAGCAAAGGCGATGGATCGAAGCCCAAAGTGACTCGGAAATTCAAGGACAAATTTGCTCCCAAGCCTGAAAAGGAATACCCATCGATCAACGATCTCAAAAAGCGAATTCGCGATGTGAAGCGACTACTCAACAAAATGGACCTGTCTGCGGATGCTCGCATCTTGCAGGAACGCGCTCTTGCTGGATATGAGCAAGATCTTGCAGATGAAACTACACGCAGAGAACGGTCATCATTGATCAAGAAATATCACTTTGTCCGATTCCTTGGTATGTGGCCGATAAGTTCGAATGGTCCTGGGTTCTCGCTAACGTACTTTGTTTTTTTATTGAATAGACCGCAAAACTGCTACCAAGGAACTTGCTCGACTTACCCGCCGCGAGAAGGAAGAAGATCTGGATTCGAAACAAAAGGCTCGTCTTGCGGCAAAAATCCACACCTGCCAGGTCAACATCAACTATGCGATCTACTATCCTCTCACCGAGAAATACATTTCAATCTACCCCAATGGAAAAGCCGATGTAGCGAAGCCGGAGTCAGAGCTGCAAACGGATGAAAGCAAATCCAACGACTCCAAGCCCCCGTTGTGGTCTGTCGTTGAGAAGTGCATGGAAGAAAATACACTGAGCCTTCTTCGTGAAGGAAAGTTGCACATCAATGCCAACGGAGAGAAGATCCAAACTTCTTCGTCTGGTAAAAAGGCAACTGCAGATACCCACAAGGAGAAGAGCAAGAAGAAAGAGCAACAGAAAGAGACCAAGGTTGCTACCCAGAAGGACAAGCATGTTTCCAAAGATGATAAGAATAGAAGCAAGAAGGAGAAGCCTGCACACAAGGAGCGGGCGTCTAAGAAGCACGAGGAACCAGAAGCCAATGCGGAGGACCAGGGTGATAGCGATGGTGGCTTCTTTGAATAGCCAACTCGCAAGTTCGATGCAGGATTGGTTTATGTCTTATTTTGTCTTGATATCCACACTAGCATTCTATATATTCTATTGCAATTCAGCCAAGTGACATCCGTCCAAAAAACTTCACTGAATAATAGCCATGTTTTCCACCTGTATACCTCGATGCCTATGATGTATGTCCTCTAGGTTATTGCACGGAACACAAAGAACCGTGTTTGCCATATAGGGAGGGAACACTAAATTATACTTTCATTGTTATATCGATCTTCTCAGAAGTTTCTATATGATAATAGCGAGTTAGTCATTTATATATAAACAGCATCGTCAGCCGCTTATATGGTCTCTATACTTGGCGATTCCGGTCTTAGATAATTTGAATACCAAGCTGTTTTAGGATATTACAGACCTTATAATCTATGTCCTTTTAGATACCTTCTCAGTTGTCTTTTTACATGTCTTTATTAGATGTCTATAAACGTCTGTTTAGAAGAATCGAACGCAAACTAATACAATCACCACAAACGACTCTTCCGTATACGTGACTAGAAATAGTAATTCACTTAATGATTAAGCTATGATAACCTAGAATGTCACATAGATGGCCAATTTTCTATTAGCAATAAAAGCCAATAAGACTAGAGCCCCCAGTGGTCACTATGCACTGTGATACTTCGCCTCCAATTCATATGAGACAGAGTGTTCAGCCTCTGAAGTATGCAAGTATGCAATTCGATAACCAAAGCAGGTATTCACAGCCCCTTTAAGCAGTCTTTCCGGTCTATCATTAGTATAAACAGGAAAGGACTCTGACTTACTTTCCAAGATGGTATTTACCCTCGAGTATCATGGATATAAGCGTCCAAGTAACCTGATTTCACCCTTTGAATCCAATTGCCTTGCATCTCATAGTAGCCTGAATGAGAAGATCTCCAAAGAAAGAAAGTAGTCCTGAAGGAGATTCCACTTTTAGAGTTGCAGAAATGCCAGCATTAAGAGTATTCAACGTATGAACATTGCAAAGCACAGTGACTAACCGCATGTCACTAGAAACAAAGAAAAGCAAAAAATGAAAGGAAAAAACACAATGATAAAAGGCACCATTCCCTAGTGCCATAAACCCAGAGAAGAAAAGAAAAAGCAAAAAAAGCAACCTCTGGGGTACATCACCTCGCTTCTGACATCCCATACTCCCCTGTTTTTTTGTATTTTATTGTTGTAGGCACTCGAAATTGTAAACAGAAACTTCCGGTGATGTCAATGTCAATTTCATCAGAAATTGGCTAAGATGTTTGATTTTCGGCATCTTTCAGGTTCTCAAAGAAACCACAAGCTGCTGTACGATTCAACTACTCAGTGTCCATACTCTCGCTGGGAACAGCTGGCTGTTTATCCTCGTGTCCAGAGGGAGAAGCTCCAGGCCCTTTGGTGATTTCTTCTGTGTCTTGTTTCATGGGAACTTCCGTGACCTCTTCCGGGACTTTCTCTGTGATCTGCTTCTGATCTTGCTCTGGTGCCTGCTCCGGTGCCTGCTCTGTGACCTTCTCTGTGTCTTGTTTGACCCAGACTTCTGTAACCTCTTTCGGGACTTTCTCTGTGACCTGCTCTGTGACCTTCTCTGCGTCTTGTTTGACCCAGACTTCTGTAACCTCTTTCGGGACTTTCTCTGTGACCTGCTCTGTGACCTTCTCTGCGTCTTGTTTGATCGGAACTTCTGTGGCCTCTTCCGGGACATTCTCTGTGGCCGGTGCTATGGCCTGCTCCGGTGCCTGCTCTGTGACCTTATCTGCATCTTGTTTGATCGGAGCTTCTGTGGCCTCTTTCGGGACTTTCTCTGTAGCCTGCTCTGTGGCCTGCTCTGGACCCTGATCTGGGAGCTGCACTTTCTCTTGCTTCGAAATCTCCCCCGAGCTATCAATATCCATATCCACATCCATTTGTGATACAGTCTGAGCCACGGTAGGCTGGCTGCTACTGCTAGCACCCTCACCACTCTGTGCAGCAGTATCTTCACCCTCACCCTCACTGTCCGAATCCATTTCATCATCCGCATCACCATCGCCATCCAGCAGATGATTTCCATACGGCTTAGCAAGAGAAGCATAATCGGTATCTTTGATACCATGCTTGGCGAAAAACTCCTTCGGAATGGTAGTGGGGTTCACACCACCCTTCACAGGTCCACAACAAACATTGTAACCCCAGACACTCCACAGCTGACAGACCTCAATCTCATCACCGAGATTCGGAAGAACAGCACAGAGATGGTGCTCAGCAGCCACAACATCCCGAGCCCAAGCCTTGCACCTGTAGTTCGCGTCTAGCTCTATACCCTGAGGCCTGTGCTGCGTCATCTGGCGAGTGATACTATGAGGAAGGCGCACGGCTGAGTCAGGTGCCACGACTGCTCCGACAGACCAGATCGGATTGGCTTGCATGATCTCTTTGGTTTTCTCGTTGAGTAGCCAGCCGATGCAGTTGGCGTGCTCGCGGCCACAGAGGATGTAGTATCCTTTGTATACTGGGAAGAAGGGGACACCGTGAGCCCAGATGATTGGGGCTGGTCCTGAAGATACGCGTCGGGGATTGATATTGCCCATGCTGTCGAAGTCGTATGGATATTGTCGGCCCCGATCGCGGGAGTTCAGGAACTTGGTTGCTAGATAAACTAGCTCGTCTGAGAGTCTGTTGTTTGAGGGAGGGAAGATTGGATGTTTGGTTTCTTTGTCGAAGCTAACATCTAGGACTAGTTTGAGCTGAGCTTCATCTTCCTCGGTGGTGGGTTGTATTCCGTGGCCATCATCGGGTTTCCAGATAACGTCGGGACTGTTGTCGAGATTTTCTGCGAGGAGGTTTGAGCAGCGGTCTCGGAGGATTTCCTGCTGCTTGATGAAGGCTGCTTCGTCGGAAACGCTGCAGGCCATTCTGGCTACTTTGGTTGGAGTTGTAGGCATGTTTCTTGACTTGACTTTGGAGATTGTGGAGTTTATTGGCGGATCTGCTTTGGGTTAGTCAAGAACTGAGTGATTAGACGTATATCTCGTCAATCGAAATACACCGATGAATGGAACGAAGGAGGCCTCGAGACAGAAGGGGTTTAACAGTTCTCCAATCGATGAATAAGAGCTCAGATGAGAGCCCGGAGGAGGAGTTATATTATGAACCAGTAGCAGCAACGAGGACATACTTGATTTTAGATAAGAGAAGACTATTGAACACCGTGAAGTGCTCAAAGGTTGAGTTGTTGCGGAAGTTCGAAGTATGAAGGAAAGTTCGAGGTATGAGGAAGTCTGGGCTATAGATATAGGAGTCAGCCAACACTCATTCGCGGTTTGTTACAAGATATAATGTTGCAAAGCGAATATGAGCACAACATAGAATGCAGATTGAAGAATCAAGTGGATTATTCAACAAGATATCTTACCTGTAGTGAGCAGTGAGGCCACGATGGAATTGTAAAAAGTATGAAAGTTGAAGAATAAGTTATGAAAGAAGTAGTACAAAGCAAAGTAGATACATGGAGGATAAAGATGTTATGAAACGACGCAGAAAGATGCGCAAAGAGGTACAGCTATGATAGTAGGTAAAGATGGAAGTGAAATCAGATGGTAAATGTGAATAAAAAATATAGCCTTTAGTTACTTTGAGGCATTAACTCTAGGACTACTAGATTAATGCAATGAATATTCGGATAGTCGAGAATAGTTGAAGCAGCAATATAAAGGGTTGACAAGTAGAGTTAATTGCATGAAACCCCATCAATGAGATACGTAGTAAGGCGAAAGTGAATGATATAGTGGAGGCTCACCATAGTAGCCAAGTTATACTTCATAAATGTACTTTACAAGATACAAAATATCGGTTACTATAGATCTACCGCTGCCATGCTCACTGGTAATTTGCCAAGAAGGTTAGAGTGAGTTCCATCGAGCCATTCTAATATCAGTGAACAGCCATTCATATGTATACCGAGGGTTGGAAATTACTACGAAGAATATTCAACTGACGAATCCTAAAGTCCTATACACCGTGATAGTGAAGTATCAGAAAAGCAGCCCGCAAGGCGACATGGATTTCAAATTGAAAAGCCCATAAAGGAAAGACAAAGCTATGAGAGGAAAAGCTGAAAAACGCCTATCATCTAGAGCCAACATCCCGAATTGGAAAAAGATGCGAACATATAAAAAGCTCATAGGACATGCATAAAATAACGCCCATTCTTGAATTTGGCGCCGGGGCTAGAAATGAGGAGAGAGGTAAATTCGGGTAGATGTCATGGTAGGTGGTAGACAGATATAAAGAGGGAGAGAGGTGGGGGAAAAGGCTAAAGAGAAGTCGAACGCAAAAGAAATCGTGTTGTATTGGAGATTTGTTGTCCCGGGAAAGAAAAAAAGAAAACCATATCGTCCGTAATTCATAGCAAATTTCAAATGGACATTCATTTGAAAGACTAGCGATCCTGCGCTAGCAGGGTTGAGCAGCGTCTTGCGTCTAGCTCGAACGTCATATGTTCCCAGAACACACCGAATGGAAGAAGCCGTAGTAACAAGTCAAGAGGCAGTTACCTCACATGACAAGACAGCTGCTACCGCTCTGAGCTCGCCTGCGTCTTCCACCAAGAGCAGAGATAGCGCCTACGGCATAAGCATCGTTCTCTTCTTCGTCTTCATTGTATAGACGCTCAGCTTCACGGGCACGACGTCTGCGTCGGCGCGCACCAGCACCAGCGGCACCAGCCTCCTCCGTAGCCACCATGTAGTCAGCCCATTTCCGGTCCAGCCGGGATGCAGCAGCGAGATCGCCGCGCAGGACACGTTTCATGTGTTCGTCGACGGTCATCTGCCAGCCGTAGAAACATTTGACCTGGATGATTTCGTTGGGGTAGGTTGGTGCTGGCGAAGGCGAAGGCGAGGAGACCGGGGTGACGAAGGTGCTTGTCGCCGGGGAGGAGTTGGCGTCTGATGTTTGTGTCACTGTTACCACAGTTGAAACGGGCTTGCGGGAGGCGCGCGGGATGTATGCGTTGCTGGAGAGGACTTCCCTGACTCCTGCCCAGGTGACGTTGGCGCAGTCGAATATCATGAGTCGCAGTCCGACTTTGGGAAGATCGTCGCTGTATCCGCGACGGCGGACGCGGAAACTGGCTTCCATCAGGGTTAGATCGGATACTCTGGTGTTGTCCATTTCAACGGATTGGAGTTTCGGACAGCTCTTCATGACTTTGAGCATTCCTGTGTCGCTGAGACTCTCGCAGTAGCTGATGTTCAGGTGTTCCAAGCGTTGGGCGCATGGAGAGTCAGCCAGTTCCATTAGGGTGTTGTTTGTCAAGTTCTCCAGATCCTCCAGTTCCAAATGCGACAGGTTTGGCGTCGTCCGAATGACGGCCATGACGGATTCATCAGTCAGCTCGGAGCACTGAGAAACTTGCAGGCCCTCCAGATATGGAACGTTAAAAGCCAGGCTTTTCAATCCATCGTCGCTCACTTCGGAACATTGGTGCAAGTCCAAGTGACGGAACTTTCGAGGTGGAACGATAGGTCGATCGGCCAAAATATCCATCTCGGGGTTCTCACCGTGGATCAGCATCTTCAGGCTCTGATCGGTCAGGTCGGTGCGACTCATGACCAAGCGGTCCAAAGTATTGCGCTCGAACAAAGCCAAAGTGAATTTCTCATCTTTAAATCCACGGATTTCGCTGGCCCGAAGATCCTTCAACCGCTCACAAGACTGGACAATCCGAAGAAGACCGGTGGTATCAACACTAGTACACCAAGAAACATTCAATGTCTCCAGTTGAGGACAAGACCGTGCAATGACCTTCATAGCCGAGTTTGTCACAGTCGGCAGCGCTGAGAGATTGATGTATTCCAAACGGGGATTACGAAGGAGGAAAGAGTAGATGGACGCCCTATCGATGCGACAACCCTCGAGCGAAAATTTGACGACATTCCGACACAGATCCGAGATGCGTTCTCCGTCCGACGACCATTTCTCGCGCATCTGAATGCAACCTCTGAGATTGAGGTCTCGCACAAACGGACCACCAGAAGTGATAAGCTTGACCAAAACATCGCTCGGGATCTTAGAGTAGTACTCAGTCGCATCAACCTTAGACCATAATTGCCCGTGGTAGCACATTTCCTTCCACGTCTTTGACACCGCAGAGCAGCAGACGATTTCTTGCGGGGTGAGGTACTGAAAGATCTCCATCTTAAGCTCTTGTGGCATATCTCCCCAGAAATCAAAAGGTTTGGCCGGCTGCGGTTCTGGAATGACAACCTCGTTCTCCACCTTTAAACCCACTGGCGTCGCGGTGCGTGGCGATCCACGCGATGCTGGCCTCATATCAAAAGGTAAAGGCACGGTGCGAGGCATTGAGGAACTAGGGCCTTCGGTGTCCATGATACGGATACGAGCGTTGGTGTTCTGATCACCGGCAGAACCAGAACAACCGGGAGTAGCAGGCCGAGGATTGAGGCCGGCATAGAGCTGGGAGGAACTTCCATTGCCTAGACAGGGCGAGTAGGAAGTCGATGATAGCGAAACACAAGAGAGCGAAGCCTTATTGTCTCTGCGATAGCTCGCGGTTGATGAGGAGCGTCCGCGTCTGGTCAGTGTCGGGCTAGACGACATTCGTTGGAGATTCTGCAGTAACTTTTGACGACCCTTGAGTTTCGGCTGTTGCTCTAATGGGATCTGGCCTGATGCATCGGTCGGGCTGTTTGGAGAGATACCCTCCGGAGAGGGTATGATCTCATCGGATACTTGAGAGGTCATTTTGGCGACTTGGTTCAGTCTGTAGCACCTATTTTCTCGCCCACTACTATCTTATCACGTCTTCCGAGCGGGGGTCGGCACGGTATGGAGTTTCACAGGGTTCGCGAGGGAGGTTCACGGAGGAAAGTGGAAATTGATAAAGCGACGGGCGCGCAGTCACCGGAAGCTCTTAGAGAAGCATAGTTCTGGATCTCAGCGATTACCGGGCTTTTGGATATCAGCGCTATGAGGAATAGAAGAGCAGAGAGAGTTGAAGTGATCAGAATGTCGGGTGGGGAAAACCACGTTATTATTGTACTCGGGGCCCACGGGCACAGAACCGTGGAACAGGCCTCTTTACGGCACTTTGCCGAGTGAGGTACAGAGAACCGAGGGAGCCGGGAGAGCCGAGTAGAGGATAGGGAGGATGGGGGAGGATAGGGGAAAGGTATGAGGAAGGAAAAAGAAAAAGATGCAAAAGGGGAACAAGAAATGGCGGAATGTAGAGAAGGGAATGTACATCTATTAAACCTGGCACTGACCTAACAATCCCATACCAGTTGTTGTACTACCAAAGTACTTTCCCCCCTCCTACGTTATCTGTCTTATCGCTCCCCACTTGATAGCAGTACTACTGGTGTATATTTTAAAATGTTATTTTGTTACTGTCTCTACATATATAATATCCCCTATCTTAAGTCACTTTTATATACAATATACTACTATGTACTAATTTCTACGATACAATGTTCCTGGCACAGACCATCTGATGTGAGACCTAAAGTCCACTCGGCTGACGACGCCTTAGAAGAGAAATGGGCTCGACGCCCCTCGGACTAGAACCCACTCAAACTCAGGGACATTCCCGAGTTCCTGAGAGGCAAAAGCCGTTAGTCCTCCGAGATTCTTTTTTCGCCTCTTTCGGATGGGGTGGGGCCATGTGCGGGGGAGAGGAATTAGCCCGTGTAGAGAAAAAAAAAAACCATGGGAAGGAGTAAGCCGGATCCATGTTTTTCTGTTTTCTAATTTCTATTTTAATTCTTATTTCATCCTGGAATGTACCTAGGTATACTCTGTTTCTTTGTCTATGGCAGTTGCAGACAAAGAAATCCCCCTACATGCAATTGAACAGATGTCCAGCTTAGTAGTAAAAACTCGCCCCATGATAACCCGGGGCGGAACTAGACTGGGCTTTGCCAAGGACTACTACAAGACCAGAACCACTCTAGACCTGGACCTACGCTAATTACTTCCCCCGCAATTCAGTCAAACCTGTTGTACTTTGTATATAAGCTCTGCCCTATTGGGTCTCTAGATAACATAAAAAAGAGATATGCAAAGGTATCGCAAAATCAAATGCTATGAAAAAAAAATATAGGGGAGAAAAGCTCGATAAAATAAACCCCCAGATGGAAAAAAAAAAAATTTAACACAATATCATACGCTGATGTTCATAATCATCACCCATCAACGTGGTCCTAGGGAAGTTAGAATAGGACACACTGCACACCCGGTCCCCCGAAATGATACCCAGTTCCCCCCCGGTAAATTCTGCATCAAAACGTAATCAACTTTGTGGGGTATCACGTTATTTTTGTTTTTTTCTCAATAAGTAAAAGGCGAAGGGAGAAGGACATGAGAAAGGATTTCAGGTCCCCACCATCCAAGGATGTTCAAGCACTTCGGTAATCGTGAGTCGGTTGTCAACGTCGCGATCGAGCATTGTGCGGATGAGGTCAATGCAATCTTCGGAGAAAGGTAGGAAAGGAATTCGGAGAGGGTGGTCAAGGATCTCATCGACGTTGTAGAACGGGTTCTCTTTGTAGACAATCGTATAGAGGAGAATGCCCAGAGCCCAGATGTCCTGTTCCTTGCCTCGATACGACCTACCCTGTAAGACCTCGGGCGCCGCATAATCTAACGTAGTCAGCATCCCAACCCCCGTAGAAACAAAGGAAACTTACCAATTGTTCCCACAAAGACATCAAACGGCCCGTTTTTGATGTAGGCCGCACTCCCAAAGTCAATCAACTTGATCCGTCCCTCTCCATCAAGAACCACATTCTCATCCTTGATATCACGATGTACCACCAGTGCTTTAGTGTGTAAATGATTAATAGCACTAGCAACCTGTTTGAAGATATTGCGGCACTCCGACTCATCCATGTTGGCCTTCAGCTCGATATAATCGAACAGGTCCATTCCTGGGAGCCCGTGAGGGGTCATTTCAATGTAATAGTTGATATCATCTTCGAAGAAGCCTTCCATTTCCACAATGTTAGGGTGCTTGAGCCCATCCCGCCGCAGGAAGTCCAGAACATGGATCTCCAGCGGCACAGTCCCGAGGCGCCGATCACGAGTCCACGTATCCACCAGGATCCGCTTCTTAGTGACAAATTTCAACACCATCTTTTTGTTAGGTTGCTTCTTTAAACGTGCCAGTTTGACTTGGCCGTAGGCTCCTTGTCCCATCTCCTCAAGAATCACGTAGTCCTCGATCGTTCGTTTCGCCGGAGGCTCGTTCTTCGCATTGGCAGCCGAAACCGGAGGAACGGGTTGTGCGGGACGGGTGGTAAGAGGTTCAGACGCAGCCTCACTTAGTTGTTGACTGAGTGTTGAGGTCGGAGCTTGGATCTCCACGGAAGTCTTGCGATTTTCCGCAGTCTGGTTATCAACGCCGGTGTCTGACGGGCGATCTGAGTCACGGTCATTGGTGGGTGAGGTGGGCTTGGAAGTTGGTACAGATGACGGCGAGAGACCGGCAGCGGGTCCAGTAGCGTGAAGCTGTCGTGAGTAGGTTATCCACAAAGCATAGACTAACTCTGTGACTGCAATGGTATCATCACTGTCATCAGAGTCGCTGCTGCGATCGCTGCTTTTATCTTTCTTGTCCTTTGTGAAGAAGGTGCCGCTCTTGACCACGCGCAATTGAATGTCCACGACAATGGTTGAGCCATCCCGATGCTTGGCCAACAAGCCACTTGGCTCTGTAAACACAGAGGCGGCATTTGCTTTTCCATCGCGGAGAATAGAAAGTGTCCGTGCCCGTCGGAAGCTGTGTTCGGGTATGACAATACCATCAACCAGTGGTACATTGTCCTCCTCGGTCAAAACGTCTAGAATCTCATCGAAATCGGGTACAAGGTCAGTGATGTGGAGGCCTTCTGGTCTTTCTTGACCAAATAGGACCGAGGAGAAAACAGAGTTGGAGCTGATCACGTTCAATGTCGAAGACGACAGCACCATCATGCCTGCGACATGAGGAAAGCTGGAGACTTGGAGGGTGCGGTCTCCCTCCCCCTTGCCGATAGCGACAGGGATACAAACGCCAGCCGCAGTGCGGGCGGCAAAGTGCCTGAGCTCCACAATTTTAGCCAATCCCTTCTGGGGGGATGTCTCAAGAGATTCCGTTGGCAAACAGGGTAAAAGGTCGGTGATCGACTGGCCTTTCTGGACGACAGATGGGCCCCAGATCTTTTCAACATCACCTTTGGCACTTACGACATTCCATGAATCGTCGCACTGGATGGAGGAAATATTTTCCGTGATCTCTTCCATGACCCAGATCAGGCCACCACGTTTTTCCATAACCCAGACGCTAGCGGATCCCCGTGATCCGTTGCGCTTTTGAATTGGAACCACATCACCGCACAATAAGACTCCGCGTGACTTGTTGGCCTGGTGGTTGTTGTTCCGGGCGTTTCTCGTGCTGGAGCCATATCCGTCATCAGTCTGCGCTCTGCGGGACTTTTCTCTTGAAGATGGTTTGTTGAGAAGTTGTGCTGTCACCCCATTCCCAAGCCCTCGGAACTTGGGATTGACGGCGGATATGTTAGCTCTTTCGGGCTGAAGTGGCATGCGGGCAGCGGCGTCAGTGCTGGGATCTCGAAGTTTGACCTCGAGCCATTCCCGGTGCTCCTTCTGCACAACTTCTAGGATGCTAAGACGGCGAACTTCGGACTGAAGAACACCAAAGATGAGACACGACAGGTCATTAGCGGCCAGAATGGTCCATGGTGCCTGAGCCTCGGTCCTGAACACGGCCTGGGAAGCTGGAGTCCATTTGCTGCTATGGGCGTGGAGGGCGGGAATCTGGAATCCTAATCCAGAAGTCGAGGAGCCAAGCGATGCGAAAGGGTCCGTGGAAGAGGTGTATGGTTGTGCTAGAGTTTCCATCAGCTTGCTCCTAATAGAGACAGAGCATAGATCCGTGTATGTACGTTTTAAGCTTACGCGCCTGGAAGTAGGTGCAGAGACCAGGTTCCTCCTTTGGTTGGAGGTACGATCGTTAGACACCGGGCTCAAGAATTGGGAGCTGTCAGAGGGATGTGACCCTAAGGAGGTGGAATCATGGGCTCCGTCGCGGGTGCTGACTGGAGAGGAACCACCATCAGAGAAGGCCTTCTCAAAGATATTCTCGCCATTAATATCCGCGGGTCCTGTGATGGGTCCGCGACCTTGGATTTGGCTTTCCTGGGGTTCGAGAATGTTTGCTCGGGCCAAAAGTTCCATCATACCTTGCACTTCCGTGTCCCCACTGACGTTTGCTTGTGCATTGGCGATCCCGGCATTGGTTGCGGCCCATCCCATCCGGTCGCGCATGAAATCAATAGACCTCTTGAGAATGTTTTGACGGCTGTGTAGGAATTCCTCGGACTGTTGGGCAAAGGAAAATGAATGTAGGGACTCCAGTGGAAAGCGGTGTAGGTCTTCTAGATCCGTGAAACTTCGGCTGGCCAAGTTACCGGTGTGAGCTCGGGATGACGAGCGGGAACGGGGAGAGGGAGCGGGGCGCTGTCCAGGTATGGAAGCTAGGGATAGTGACGAGGAAGACATGTTTGGAAGGGTCAGTACTCGCGAGGGTTGGTTTTGGCGTATACGATCCAGTCCAGATGGACCAAGTCCATGGTCGTTCTCGAATAACGGAGATCTGTGGAAAATACAGAATGTGTCAATATCGTGTTCAAAAGTAGACAGGAATATCTTCGCTAACCTGGAAAGAGGGTCATATCCCGAAGAAACACTGTCCACCGAGCTTCTGAGGTAATCTGTCTGTAAAGAAAGTGTGTCCAGTCCGCCCTCGGATTCGGGCGACTCAGAGAGGGGTCCTAACGGCGACGAAAGAGGACTCGGCTCGCCTAAGTTTGATCAGCGTTGGTTCACCTACATATGTAGCTTATAATCAACTCAATCGGCGCGTCTCAAAAGTTTCCATTCCATGGGCCTTTCAAAGAAAACGTGACGCGTTCGAATGATCAGACGGTTAATCTCCGCGGTCAGATGCATCTCCGAGAGCATGTGCTAGCGGGTGACCGTGATGGGAGGAAGAAAATCGAGTCGCGCCCTGGTTGCTCTAAAACCTTTCTTTTCGGGTACTCGATGAGTCGTAGGCTCAATCTGAGTAACCTGTACTTTCCCCTCACCTCCACTAGTTCCTCAAGGCCCATGAAATGTGAAACAAAGACTGAATGGGTCAACATTAAAAAAGCATGCGCGCGTAACTGACCATCATGGTTGTAAGCCGACCCCATCCCCGAGGTCTCTCTTCTCTCTTTTTTTGATTTTTCTTTGTTATGTTTTCAAAACCAGATGATCAGATGGGAGACAAAGAGAATGACGAGGCTCAATCGAGGCTCGCACTCGTGGATGTAGCGAGGGTATGCGACATGTATGGGAACGGTCATTCGCAACTGTGACGGGTGTCGGGCGGGCAGCTGCCTCGTAGGGTCTCAGGCGGCATATGTGGCGTCGCGGCTGAGCACGCAGAAAGTGAAGAAAGAGCAAATAAATTCAAGGTTAAGGATTCAAGGGGGAAGGAAAAAGAAAAAGGACAGCGGGGGAGGGAGTGGGGAGAGGAAAATGCCAAAAAGAGAAAAAGGGAACTGGGTCCCCTTCCGTGATGTAATAGCAGTGTTATCTTATATTGGTTTTTATACATCTCCTGTTATATATATAAATAATTCATACATTCTTTCTCATTCAAGAAACAGAATAAACATTTCCCTTACAATGAACAGATGATTTGCCTAGTTTTAGATCGGCTGATCGACATGGTTCTATCTCATGTGGCGGAGAAATTTGCCGCTGAAGAGGGGATTCACCTATAAAATCAGATCTATATAAGATAGAAAATTATGGCTGATCTCTATATATTAAATAGAACCAACCTTAGAAGTACCAAGCTACCACTCTAATACTTGAAGAATATGCGTGCTCAGGCAATTTCCTACCCCGCTCTGGCAAATACAGCATGTCGTGGCCAGGTTATTTGGCAAAAGTCTTGAGATGATGCAAAGTGGCTTTCTCAATAGACCCGAGCGCCTGATGTGGAGCTTTGTCTCTTTTGGCGATGTACTTTGTACATAGATATATATATATATATGTACGTAACTTTCTATGAAGTTGACTGGTTCACATAAATTAAGGCAGAAAAAACCATATAAAAACCAACTAGATTCTGCCAAATAGATATATGTTATAGATGCCTCCTTTGGTGGTGTCTATAAGCCATTTCTGTACAGGAAAAAATGATAATAATTCAGCCTAGGAGATAAGAAGTGGGACTAGCTTCGACCCGTATGTCCAGTGCATACGCAAGCAAGTGACATAGGCCAAATCGGGAGATATCTATGGTGGGCCGGTCCCTGACAGAGGGTCCCGGGAGCCCCGAAGGCTGTGTAGCGCCAATTGACCATGCTCAGAATCGGTCCCTAGATTGTCCTCTCCATTCGATCCGAACAGAGTATTGGGTTTCCCTCGGCTTTGGTCTAGATGTCGAGTCTGCTCCGGCGGCGGCGATGTTGAACTGACAAAGCCCGACAGGTTCCGACCACCGCCTAGCATCCATGAGAATCCCGAATCCGTCATAGAAGGTCGCACAGTTGATCGCACAGTTGATCGCGAGGGTATTGCCCGCGCATTTTCAGTCTTTCTGTCACTGTTCATCCGACTTCGCGTGGCTAGGACAGAATGGGTCCCACTTTCGGTTTTCGGCCCGGTCGTATCCATGTTAGCGGGACTTGTTGTTCGGGATTGACCCTCGTCCGCCACAATGTTGCCTTCTGTTTTGCCCATTGTTGAGGTGATTGTCTCTTGTGACTCGTCCAGTTGGCTCAATTCACTGTCTACATGGGGTTCAAGAGGGGGATCTACTGGGATGGAAGAGTCTGCGAGGCAGACCTGCACACTCTCGGCTTTGATCAGAGCTTGCTTCACTGCGCTGTTCGTATCAGAATCGAGGTCCTTGATATTAGCCAGCTGTGAACCAAGATCATTTAGTGCCTCTCGTAAAATCGTCGCCAATGCTTGGTTCCTTTCCTCAAGTTGATTGATCTTTGTTTCAAGTCTGGCCGAGGTCGCCGTAGTTGCCATGAGCGCTTTGGGTTGGATGTCCGAGGACGATGCAGCGGAAACAATCCTCGAAGAGCCACGCATATTCGCTTCATAATGCATGGTCTGCATGTTTTTCCTAGCTTCTGTCACGGCGCCTCGAACAGCTTTGGCTACGCCCCATGCCTCTGTCCGGCGTTGGATCCCCTGGGAGACGTCTTGGAAAAGAGATTCGAGACTTTTCGGGCTGTTTCGGGCTGGTGATCCACCAGGTGAGTTGCTTTCACTGCGTTTCTTAAAGTCTTCCCAAAGAAAGGCCTTCCTCGTGGGCCGTGCACCGGGGTGGTTGCGAATTTTCGAGTCGGGTGGTCTACCTGAATATTTTGATATGATGAAACTGCCTCGATCGGCGGTAGGGTTCTGTTCCAAATAGAGTGCATCATGCACAAAAGTCTGAGGTGTGTGGGGTTGGGGCGAAGGATAGCGAAGTAATAATGTTAAGGCGGTTGTATAGTCCGCCGCGAGCACTAAATGATGGATGTCAGAAAAATAACACACGACCGAGTACTGAGCAGGTCGCCCTACATTGCCAACGAATTCTAAGTAGCATTGCGATGCACGTGAAATCAACAAGCTCAGACCGTAGTCCATGAGCAAACAGTAGATCCCACATCATCAAGACATCGTCAAATGGACATTCTCGCCCAAACAGAAGGCGCATCCAGCGACTTTTCAGTGAGTTAGTATAGAAAAAAAAATCCATGGTTGTCCCAAAGGAGCTTACGTGAGAAAAATTTGCGGTAATACGTCCACAGCTTCCAGGTGCTCAGCAAGCTCATGATCGATAATCGTCAAAGCTTCCTTATGGAGATAATGACACCGATCAACTATCGGAATAACATCCATCTGGCCATTTGCTGAGCGTGTCTCGCCGTGTTCATAATATATGCGGGCCGTCTGCATGACAGAGAGAAACAGTGTAAATGAATCGTGTTCCACAAATTGCGCGTCAAGAAGCTTTAGCATTAAGCCCTCACTTTTGTCATTTTTCGCATCAAGTCCTCCGGGTGGTGGATTCACCGAGTCTCGATCTACCACCCAGAGAATAGGCGCGAGTAATTCGTGCATTCCTTGTCTATAGCCGACGTCCGGATTGAGTTTCGAGTAGACAAATAGGATATCGGTCAACTTGGATTTCGTGTCGGGCTCTTGGAAAAAGAAGTTTTCCTGCAAGCATCGATCGACATCTTGTAGAATCTCGGTACGCAGCGTCTCATCGTGTCGGAGTGTTTGCCAAGGGGACTGGTTGTTTACAACAAGAATTAGTTTGGGGGTTTATTTAAGCTAGGGCGAAGCACAGCAAAAAGAAAATTACGTACCTGCTCATCATCCGCCAGCGGGTCAACAGTTGACTCTAAATCGTCTGGATGTTCGATATATTTCAAGAAATGATCTCGCAGCGCACGATATGCATCCCGGGATTCGTCGAGCTTAGCTGCCCATTCAGTTTTATCCAACCCGTCGAAAAGTAGAAATGCCTGCATGAACAATGAGTATATATATCCAGCTCATGTTGCAAAGCGTACAGAACCTTCCAGCAAACCGACCTCAACCCATCATTGCACAGGTTTCCTCCTTGTTCGGATTGCAACGCCGCTCGGAGGTCAAAAGGTGTGTCGTTGTCGGAGAACAGGATGTCCCATCTCTTTCTGCGAGGGTCAGTACAGGTGAGTATTTGCGGACAAGGGGAAATACCTGGTCTCCTCAATGGTTCTCATTGCTAGGGTTGATGGGGAGAAGCTAGGGAGATGAGGGGAATGCGGGCGATAGATAGTAGACCGCCCGTGCCTTATCTCGGGCTACTTGTTACCCGCGTGGGCTCGTCTATTGCGACATTCCACCTCTATATACTCTCGAATATCAAATGCGATAGATCAACGGTTGACCTCGGGATATTCGATCTTGTGTCCCCGCCCTTGCAGAAACTCGCATCGCTGCACCGCTGTACTTTATGTCACCTCTCACAGCTTTATGACACCTGGACATTCGTAATGTCCGCAGATCTGCTGGCAGAATTTGGCCAGGCACCTGCTTCAGACAATAGGTCCAGCCAGAAGCCAGCGCAATACCAGAAAAGCTCGTTCTTCGATCCAGAGGATAATATTGATTTTTTCGGACCGTCGGGAAGTGTCCAACATAGCAAACCTCCCAATCCGACCTCGGGAGCAAACCAATTTACAACTCCGGCTTCGTGGCAAGGCCCTGGTCATCCGGGATTTGACCTTCCCTTGAATCCGCATAGCGATGTATTATTCGATGCCGAATTTGAGACACTAGCGAGTGATGCAGATGATGACTGGGGTGAATTTGAGGGCCCTGATTCAAGCACTCAACCTGCACAATCAACATCTCTTCAGCAATCAATGACAGCTCCATCTCCAAAACCAGAGCCTCGGCAAAATGACGCACAGTTTTCTAGAACAATTGACTTGCTAGATTCACTGTCAATGCAAGATTCCGCACCGGTTGTGAAACAGCCGTCGAAAATTGTCAAAAAGAACCAACACCCCCAACCTAGTAATAACCAAGACCAAGCGGCATGGGAGGATGATTCATTTGGTGACTGGGGCGATTTCGCTGATGCACCTGCTAGCCAGCCTACCCCCAAAGTCTCTGAAAAGAGAATAAAACCACGCACAAAACTACCCCCAAAGCCGCCTGTCAAATCCAATAAACCGCTTGCATCAACCTGGGATGATGATGCCTTCGATGATTGGGGTGATTTTTCAGATGGGCCTGGTGTCAAGCCTGTGCCTAAATCCAAACCCACCTCAACACCGACAGCACCTAGCCCGGCTCCTAGTAGCTTTGTCTCTGGGAGCACAACCCCCGCAGCTACCGTCCGTCCAACAAATATCCCACCGCCATCAGTCCTTCTTGAGTTATTCTTAGATGTGTTTGAGAATCTTCAAAAGGAGGCTGCACTTGCAAAATCCCAGCTGCGATCTTTGGCCTCACCGTCATCCTCATCTTCAAACACCGTTTCAACAACAGCCTTAAATATTCACAATGTACTTCAATCGGCCGCCCGTGTAATTGCAGGGCGAAGTCTCCGGTGGAAACGTGATACAATTCTCAGTCAAAGCATGCGAATCGGCCCTGCCCGTTCCGGCAAAGCCGGTGGTATGAAACTTAACAGCGTGAACAAGCAAGAAAACATCAAAGAGGAACAAGACGCAGTTGACGTGATTACTACTTGGCGTGAGCGGGCGGCGGTTTTCAATGCTGTCCTACAAGCCGCAGGCCAGCGGCCAATCCCTACGGTCCCAGATCCTAGTGCACTCAAAGTTATTACGGCGCGGGCGGATCAGGGCGCACTGAAGGCCTCCCATCCATGTGCACTCTGTTCGCTTAAGAGAGATGAGCGGGTTTTACGGGTGGATGAAGAAAACGTTCAAGATAGCTTTGGAGAGTGGTGGACTGAGCATTGGGGCCACACAGCATGCAGGCAATTTTGGGAGACGAACCGAAATCTGCTTGTGCAACGGTAAAAGCTATGCAGAAGTATGTAGGAAATGAAAAATGAAGTACATATAAATGGCAATGTCAAATGACTTTCCAATGTTCCAATCATCGGAAGGGAACCCGACGACATACCTATCTCCTCTCATACACTCCACTCCGAACAACAAGATAAGATTTCGTATCCACTTCTCTGCAAAACTGTTTGATTCGTCTTTGCTCTTCTGATAACCAGAGATCCCCTCACGGCCTTCGTGGGCCTCACGGGGAACTTCTGCCCCCGCACTTCGGCCACAATCCTGATTTTCAACATACAACACAGATGGCGGGTGATGGAAGAGTCAAAAAAAGATCGTCAAATGCGTAAGTGGGAAGGATTATTAGGAAGATACAGACCGCTGACAATTTAGCTGTGTACGATGCCGCCGACAAAAAATCAAATGTAGCGGTTCGCAGCCATGCGAAGTGTGCACTAAGCGGGCTTTAAAGTGCATTTTTAACGATAATGACCAGAAAATCTTGGTAACCAGAGGGTGAGTAAAATTGAACCTTGAGAAGATATCCATAGCCAACTCACACTTATCACAGCTATATTCTGGAACTACAGCAGAAGATTGCGCGTATAAAGCAGCACGAAAAAGGCCAAGCGAGCCCTTTCAGCTCGAATTTCGATACCCAAACCATTGGTGTGTCTTGCGTTCTGCTTGAATTATTACCTACTAAACTGTTACAGACCCCAAAGGTCGCGAAGATGTACCTACTTTGGAGAGGACTAGGAGTCCAGAGGATCATGACGAACCCCAGGACCTAGAGGATCTCGATTCTGAGTTAGCCAATCCATTGTCATCTGGCCCTCCTGCTTTTATGTCTGCAGCAAATGGTCGCACATGTAGGTTACGCTGATTTCTTGGAATGCACAACTCTAACATCTAAAGTCTATCTTGGAACATCATCCAACTGGTCGTTCACTCGGCGAGTTCTCAGCTTGGCACATCGGCACCTCTATCAGGATGTACTGCCCACGGAAACTTTACTATTTGATGAAACAACCTATGACCTGGGATGGGACGGGCTACGAACAAACCCAGGCTCAGATATTCCAGTTGTTCCGACTCGCGACCACACCATGTATCTGATCAATGCCGTGAAATTTCGGTGCGGGCAATTGTATCACCTTTTCGAAGAAGATCAGTTTATGAGCTCTTTACAGCAGTTTTACTCGGGAGATGGACACTCTATGACCAATAGCTTGTGGTACATCCATTTCCTCCTCATCCTGGCTTTTGGGAAAGGATTCGTTCAGCCCAAGGCTCAAGGTAGAAAGCCACCAGGGGTGGGCTATTTCGTCAAAGCTTTACAGCTTCTACCTGACCCGACTGCTCTGTACCGAGATCCTATGCTGGGAACGGAAATCCTATGTTGCATTGCCTTATACTACCAGTGTGTTGACTATCGAACATCGGCACATAACTACGTAAGATTTCCAAGAAAGTGTCTCATTTAAAATGCCTGACTGACCAATACTCTAGATTGGTCAAGCCATGCGGATAGCCATGGCGCAAGGAATGCACACTAATATGCCAGTCGACGATTTAGGGCATGACATGGTTCAAAGATCTAGCAAAATCTGGTGGACTATCTATATTCTGGATCGAGAAATGACATCCTTAATGGGTCTACCTCAGTCGATCAATGACCGATATGTGCAGACCCAGTTACCCACCTTTTCAGACCCATCAGAGACAATGTCATTAGGCATGCACATTAAGTTGTCCAAAATCATTGCCGAGGTAAACAGCAGTAAGATTCCCTAAGCCTCCATGGTGGATGATAGCCCCTAATAAAATCAACAGCAATATATGTTATCAATGGGCGTATCAACCGGACTTTTCTGCTTAGCACCAAAGCAGCATTGGCGAACATTGCAGGACTCGCCGATGAGCTCCGCGAGTCATTTCCGCTACACTTGGATCCAGCTAGCGGCGTTTCCCGAACATCAGCATACTTGCATCTTCAATATCACCAGGTGCGTGCATTATCCTTTGTGGGACGAGATGCTTCGGCTAACTAAAACGATATTCAGTGTATCATCCTGGCCACCCGACCTCTCCTATTCTGCTTTCTTAAAATCCGCTTCGAGTCCCCAGAAAGCTGTTTAGACTCCCTCAATGCATCCCGAAATGTCCAAAACTTGATGCAAATGTGTCTTGAATCCGCCCAGCACATCATCAGTATTCTCTCCAGTTTGCAGAGCCAAGGCCTCTTAGGTAAATCTACCAAAACAACCTTTCGCTACAGATCGACATTCTCAACTAAGATGCAAATAATAGAAACTTTCCTCCCTTTCGATCTAGAATCAGTCTTCGTATCCACAATCGTCCTCCTGATGGGCCCAACAATCGACCCGCGAGTACTAGAAAGCCACCCCAACTGGCTGGAGAAAGCCTACGCCATCTTCGATGAAATGATCAGAGACGGAAACCAAGTTGCTACCTTCCGGCGATCCGAGCTCCAGCAGCTACATGAGACATTATTAGGGTGTATCTCTGGTGACCAGCCTCGACACTTGGCAGTCCCTGATTTCTTCCAGCAGGCTGATATTCTTTCTCATCCAGCTTCCCCATCTGAAACACCGATTCCTGGGGCTATGCCTCAGTCTAGATATGATGATAATCTTCTCAGGCCGGATCCTGATTTGGATGTGGAGTGTGATTTTAGTACGATGCTGACTTCGGCTGAGATCATGGCTGTTGCGGACTCGATTGAGAGATACGATACTGAGTGGGTATCGAATGCGATGATAGAACATAGTATATGGTAGATTGAATGTCTGATGAATTGACAAATTTTGAATTGATATCTACTGGTATCCTCAATCCATAGTATCCGTTCGAAGAAAAGTTTAAGCTGGCCTATGGCATGGATATTTTGTCTTGAATCTGAACGTGCCGTAAAGACAACAATACTGTTGTAATAGTCGTGGAATTAATCTAAAGCTTAGACAATACCACAGGCCGGATCTCCGAGAGCTCCTTTGATTCTCCAAGACGCCAACTTACATCACCACCCCAATTCCCCTTGCCCTCCTTGGGATCAGTATGCTTCCATTTCCATCTCGATTCAAGCTGCTTCCCAGCCTGCAAAAATTCCGAAACCCACGTTCCAAAGATAGGGAACATCTTGAATCCATGCCCAGAATCACCAGACAACAAAACAACCGATGACGAGGTCTCGGGAACAAAGTCGATAATAAAATCCGAGTCATCAGTATCAGCAAACCAGCAAAGCGACTTCTTAACCAGCGGGCGATTCGCAAGCACCGGAAGCGTCTGCGCCAGCAACTTCCTCATCTGTCTCTCATCATGCTCTGGCACAAACGCACTTTCCTCCAAAGTACCCGGCGCATGAGAAACCCCGGTCTCAGGATCCGTATTGATATACCCTCCCCCCATAGGACAAATCTTCAACAAGTTAGTCTGAGGATCTGGCTCAAAGAGGAATCCCAGATCGCGAGCATAGGTGACAGGAATACCGCGCAGCGCAGAAGTCTCTTCATCCGTAAGATGAACATGTGCCACAGACCACGATTTAGCCACGACCTTCTTCCCAATCTCCGGGACTAGTCGGCCGACTGCACCACCCGCTGCGACAATTACCAGTGAAGATGCGTGGAACTTCCCATCCTTAGTTCGGATTCCGGAGCTCTTCTTCCCTTGCAGTGTGCTGACGTAGACAATTTCATCGACCGCGCCGCGTTCTCCGAGGTAAAAGCGCACGCCAGCTGCCTGCGCAGCGCGGTATACTCCTGCCAGGGCGTTCCCAGAGTGTGCATACCCGTCAAAGCGGTTCAGGTATCCATTCCATCCGGTCAATGGGCCATCTAGCTGCCAGGAAGCTTGACGAATATCGCCTTCGCCATTGAGGGGTACGACATGTGATTTGATTTGATCATTCCCTTCTGCCGAAGCTCGGAATCTATTAAGGGTGTCGATGGCTTTCTGGGGTGCTTCGCCAGACACGCAGTGGAGGAATCCAGTCTGGTGGAAATAAGGCGCGAAAAGAGGAGTTTTCCACGCGGCGATAGCTTTCTAATTAAACAAATAAAACAGGACGCCGGTCAGTAGTTAACTCCCTTAGTATACTTTTATCAAAGATAATGACTTACAATTGTCAAATCGGTGTAGAACGGATCCTCGTATTCCGCGCGCACAATCTTATTCAGGTCATTGGCGGCCGAAAATCGCGGAGGAATATGCTCGTCTCTTTCGAAGACAGAAATATTCGTAAAGCCTGAGCGAGTCAAATGAAGGGCGCTGGAGAGCCCGAAGGCTCCGCCGCCAACAATGATGATCGGGTCGGACTTGGAGATACCCATGTTAGGTGAAATACAATTGGATGAGAAGCCCCTATCAGACGGTGTAATTGTTCGATATCTATAGTCTACAGCGCAATATACCATGAGTCAACGGCGTCAATGCCGAGTAGTGCGGGGGCTGCGGAGAAGTGGACCATCGGGAGGGTTCCCGATGTGCCCAACACTAGAGGACTTTTGAATATTGCGATAACTGAAAATGATATGATATGGCGAGGGGAAGGTGAATTTAGGAATCACTTTGTGAGTATAAGCAAGACATAAAGACACGCGATTCCACATGTAGTTTTCAAGGTAAACTACGTTGACGATATTGAGGAGTTCTGAGATACATGAAACCTTGGAATCCTACAGACAAGTGGGTAATCATTAAACTAGTTGGTTTTGCTGAGTACAATGAGATCGATAATATAAGGAAGTAGAAGTAATAGAAACAAGAATAGTTGACTGCTTTTGCGGCCTTGTGATATCCTTTTTGATAGCCTTCGTCGAAGTCTTTTTAGAGGTGGGTTCTTATAGATATTTCAATATTGATTGGTGTTGTAGCTAGAAGGATAAGAATAATGAGGCCAAGGATAGAATACAGGCCTCGAGAAATGTGATAAATAACAGTATGCTTGGATTGTGAGAGTACATATTGTGATCACGAAAAGAAATCTACTGATTATTCATTCTAGACCCCAAAATTAGTGGTTGCTAGGGTAAGTGAATCCCTCCTCTTGTCCAAAGAATTCCTCCTTAATCAACCGTGGGCTCACGAAACGACGAAGAGGATCAGAGCTACCAGCCTTGTCGTTGGTTCCACTAGCGCGCGCACCACCGAAAGACTGCTGGCCAATAAGGGCAGCGGTTGTTTTGCAATCTATAAAGAATAAACGGTCAGATACGAAAAACATTCATGTAGGCACAGTGAGACTTACTGATATAGAAGTTTCCGGCAGAGTATCGAAGCGCGTCTTCAGCCTGACGGATAGCAACGCGGTCTTTGGCAAAGACAGCACCAGTCAAGGCAAATCCACCTCCATTCTGGTCAACAGACTTCAATGTGGAAGCCCATTCAGCATCCTTATAGATATAGACGGCAAGTACAGGTCCGAATATCTCCTCGTTAAAGAGACGGTGGTCTGGTGACTCGGCTTGGTATACAGTAGGGTGCACGTAGTACCCAACAGATCCATCATAAGTACCACCCGCAATCAGCTTCAACGAGGGATCCTTGTTGCTAGTATCAATAATAGACTTGATCTTCTCAAATGACCCACGGTGGATCACGGGGCCCATGAAAGCCTGCAAGTCCTTGTCCGGGTTTCCAATGGTAATCTCCTTGATTCCAGCCTTTATCTGAGCAAGGAATTCCTCTGCACGAGACTCAGGCAAGTAGAGACGCGATGTGGCGGAGCATTTCTGGCCCTGGTACTCGAACGAGCCACGAATGGTGTGGTTAACTGCACTGGTGATATCGGCTGAGGGGTGAACGAGATGGAAATTCTTTCCGCTGGTCTCGGCAACGAAGCGAGGGAACTCGCGGTATGTTTTCGCAGCAACACCCTGGCCAATCTTACCATAGAGGGAACGGAAGACATCGGAAGAGCCAATGAAGTTCAAGCCGGCAAAGTCGCGATGTGAGAGCACAGTCTCAGTAATGGCTTCAGGGTCACCCGTCACAAATTGGATCACATTGGGTGGGAGACCGGCCTCCAAAAGAATTTTGTAGAGCAAAGAGCTGGCGTAGACATTAGATGCTGAAGGCTTCCATAGTACCACGTTGCCCATCAGCGCAGGTCCGCAGATCAGGTTACCACCAAGGGCTGTGAAGTTAAATGGGGAAACAGCGTAAACAAAACCCTCCAGAGGACGATAGTCGATACGACTGCGACTAGTTAGCAAGTGATCCCACAATGAGTGAAGACTTCAGTGTGTACTAACCTCCACATGCCATCACTGCCACGAGTTGGCTGCTTCTCCAAGATTTCAGCAGCCCAGTTGCAATTCAGACGGAAGAAATCCGCCAATTCAGCCGCAGCATCAATCTCTCCCTGCCAGATATTCTTTCCTTGCCCAAGCATTGTAGCTGCAATAATATCGTATCGATACTTGGTGCACAGCAGCTCGGCAGCTTTGAGGAAGATCGAAGCTCGGTCAACAAATGGAGTATCTTGCCAACTTTGCTTTGCCTCCAAAGCTAGCTCAATGGCTGATCGGGTCTGCTCATCGGTGGCGAGTGGGTAATTTGTGAAGGTAGTGGCATGTTCGGCAGGCAATGGTTGATCCCAAGACTTGGAGCTTGCCTGAAATTTTCCATCATAGAAAAGCTCACTTCGCACCGGTAGCTGATCGCGAAGCTTGGTCAATGCTTCTTCAAGCTTAGCGCGCTCCGGAGAGCCTTTCTTGTATAGGGGCTGGTTTGATTAGCATCAAGATGGGTAAAATAGTTCTGTCACACTCACGTTTGGTTCGTTTCGAGCATCGGGGAGGCGGAATGGCATGGTAGTTTTAGCACGAGTTTGAATAGAGAGTCCTGCAGGAATGGAGCGCAGGCGATAGCCACCAGGCCGTGCCGATCGGAGTTTTATGAGTGTAGTGGACATTATTGATATCAGTTTTGAGTCGAGTTAATGGCAATGTAAACTTGAGAAATCAGTTTAAGACGACGAACACATCGATTTAAACATATACGACCCCTCGTAGAAATATCGGAGGCTACCCCGTTTACCCCACATAATATTCAGAGTAAGCTTGAGCTCTAACGGGACCTCGGGAGAGATAGAGCTAAATGCATAACTGGTGTTCGGGATCTGCAGCATCGGGAGGCCATCCGGTGCTCGTATCAGACTGGATTAGGTAGTGTAATCTTATATTTTCAAAGTAAATAAGCATCAGACTCGGAACTATGTAGTTCATATGGTTATTATGCAACAAGAAGCTCAATTAAATGAAGCTCGATGGGGCAATCTTCAAGTAGGACTCCTAGCAGGCGATCTCGCCGCGGCAGCAGCTTCGGCGTCCCTAGTGACACCCGCAGTGGCAATTATTGATAGGTTCGTCTCGACGCCTGCAAGCTCATTAATCCCGCACTAACAAGCACCTAGATCGCTTGTCGAGCAAGCCGCCTTCAAGCAACCAATTCTCCACGGACTTCGTCGGCATACCCTCAGGGCCTTTCGACAGCCGGGTCTGTTCGTCTTCCAAAGACCCTTCGGTATCGTCTGGGCCCTGTACGCGGCAACGTATTCCGTCGCAAATGTGACCGACACAATCAGTCGCAAGCTTGAGATAACCGCCGCGGGGACAATCACATTCGCCACAACAATGATGGCCAACGTGCCGCTAGCGCTGTGGAAGGATATCCGATTTGCCCAGGAATATGGCACCGGCAGGGGTCCCGATGCGACGAAAGCAAACATCCCAAACTCTGTACCCCTCCAGAACAAGTCGTTGGCACGAGCTGCAGCTGCTATCTTCCTTGTACGAGACGGTGTGACTATCTTTGGATCATTTACGTTGGCCCCGTGGTTGTCGGATGCCATCCCCGATGGCTTGGCAGCTCATTTTCACGCAAAGCCGATCATCACGCAGTTGACTGTGCCTGTCCTGACTCAGCTAGTTGCTACTCCATTGCATTTGTTGGCGTTGGATATGTACACACGGCAATATACTATGCCCTTACTGGAAAGGGTGAAGCATTCGCAACAATATCTTCCCTCGTCGGCTTTGCTGCGTTGTATCCGTATCATTCCTGCGTTTGGAATTGGGTGCTTGACAAACATGGAGTTGCGGTGTGCTTTTCATGCCAGAGTCTCAGGTTGAATAAATCAATTTCTTGTCCAACTATTTATTTATATACCGTATAAACAGCCGGGATAATGGACTCAATTGAGCTACCTAGAGTTATAAATCTATATTCTATCATTGCACCTAGGTGGATATATCAAGTGCCAATATATCGAAAGGAATCTTTGATGTAATGGGGAAGGGGCTATCTTTATCAGAAAGAGAGACCGGTGGAATAGTAGCTAGTGCCTCTACTGGTGAAGCTCGAAAAAGAAAAAAAGATAATCCCTCCACTTACTCCTAGCGCAGGATCGAAACCCTCACCAGTTTCACCATTGACTGGACTTCTCAATGCGGTATCACCCGGTCTCATTGTTCCATTCAGCAATCAGATGACTTCAGTGTCTCTCACCCACTCAGCCATCCGGGAAGGATTATTGCTTGCTTAATTTGACCTACAGTCAAATAGACAAAATCCCATTGTTTATGCTATATACATTTTGCTCTAACTCTCTGTTAACAGTATATAACTATTCTCTATGATAACACTCTATTAACTCGCTTCACTCTATAATTTTCGTCAACGGATATCAGATTAGATAGAGACAAATAAGCCAATGATATCTAATAAACACCATCCTTTCTTTTCCCCTAAAGTGGTGATCAATTTAATCAAATAATATGATTTCCTCGAATAAGCAAAACACTCACCAACAACTTCCTTCACGAACGAAATGCGCATAAAGGACAAGGACCGTGAGAACTAACACTGCCGTAAACAACAGCTGACTTCCTATTTTCTAAATACTGCCGGAACTATTTATTTGTCTGAGGGCAAGAAGATCTATAATGAGATACAAATAAACAGCATACTATTGATTAAAAATATGGAAAATATTGAAAATAGAGCAAAGAAAAAGGACACCGGTCAACACAAAGCATTAACAATTTCATATGGCCTTGCTCTTGGTTCTTCTCTGGAATAGAAAATTCACCATTTAGAAGCCGGCGCTGATATCACGCATTTCCACGATAGAGTCCTGGGTTCCGAGAATATACAAACTTGATGATGAACAACCCAGGATCTCAAAATTTTCAAATCGATGCGAGGAGAGAAAAAATGAGAAACTAGGCTGGCTGATTACTTTCTTCGGCCACTCCTCCCCGCTGCAGCTGGTTGGGGACGGAGAACCGGCATAGCAGTGAAGTGGTACCCTACCCTCGTCAACGCGTCTATGTCCTTAGCAGCACTGTCATACTTTTCCTTCCAGTGACGATTTCTCCCGCGCACACAATATAGCAGCCATATAGCTCCAGTGAATAGAGCGCCAAGGGCCCCAAGGCCTATCATCAATCCAATTGCAAGTTGGCGCATCCCTGCTGTGTCTAGACCCAAGAAACCGGCGGTTGATGAATCTCCATTTATAGTAAAAAAGCCGAAGAATAGCCACTGGTTCCGGAGGAGTCGATCGTGAAGAAGAATGTAGACGAGTTATAAACGTAGTTGCCGTAGAGTTGAACAACCCAGGTGATATTTGAGACCTTATTTTGAGGGTCGGTTTGAGCTGTTTCTTGTCAGATTTAGGAGTTTCCATACTTCTTCTTTATCTTTGCTTACAGTAGACAGTTCCTCTGTTGTGAGGGGTATTTTCTGTTGAAACAGATCCAGAATCCTGTTGCCAGAGCGTCACGTCGAATGTCGATAGGTCGGTGTTCCATACAATGACCTGTTGCTCGCCCAGGTTCCACGCAATACTCGTCTTGTTGGTATTATCACCGGGGTTGATCCAATAAGTTGTGTTTGTGTCTGCGCTCGCGGCAGCAAACCCTAGAAGGGTAAGGAATGCGATCAAGTACATCGTAATAGGATAAATATGGTAACAAAGGATTGAGTATAATGGTCTTAATATACGTAGGCCGCTGCTAAAAGCCTCAGGTTCATGGTTGAACTGCATCTATATGTATTTTCTTGGTTGGCGCTGTCGGAGATCTGACCTGGATCTAAAACCAGAGTGTGTTATACTTAGAATCTCTTGTTCCGATAGGGTCCACGAGTTGCAATGCACTTACGATCGAGACTAGTATACGTAGGGCCTACAGGTGGGCTAAGCAATTGCATTGCCCGGGTGAACTGTGCTTATGAGTTGTTCGGATATTTTATCGAAGAACCATCAGCTGGAGCGCAACTTGCATATTCCAAGGGTCCAAGATCTCCAGATTGTACCTCATTGCACAAATCAGATCCATGGATCCAAAATATCAGGTAGTAGTGAATGATCTAAACGGGATATCGGTCCAAATGTAGGGGGTCAGCCTCACAAGGGGTTGAAACGAGTGCAGCGTTTAGAGCCTCAAATATACCCCGGTGTTCTCCAACATTACAAGCCACTCAGGAAATTCAAACGAAGCTAATGTACTTCGTATATCACGCGCCACTAAGATAATAATAATGTAAAGCTGATATGGTAAAAAAATCTATGACCACTCGTTCTCGAACCTTTCCAAAGCCAGTAATTCTTTATGGCCCAAGAATGACGCGCAGGTCCGTGTGTGTTTTTCACAATACTCTACAGTCCCCTGAATCTTCGATAATATTAATCAAGTGGGTTATTTATTCGATTTCGTGCATTTTTGCCGATACCGCTGCACGCGCATTTTCTTTACAGCTTCCCGAGTGTTACGGACATACTACTAGTTAGATATTTAGAATAAGCTTATTATAGCGGAATCTAATTAATTTAATATTTAGTAATATCTGTTACGAGTCAGTCTATCCTATATATATCGAGTGCTGTTTCAGGTCGTTGTCCTGAAATTCTGGTCTTTTGCTCCTAGCGCAGCGAGTTAACCTTTGGAACGCACCCTAAAGGAAGTGACAATCCAGATCTGCTTGTATAAGTTTACAGGGATCTTTTTGGCAGAATACTTTCCACAATTACCTTCGAATCCACAAGTCCCCTTTCTTCCCTTTCTCTCCATGTTTAGTATTTTGAATGAACTGCACTCTTTTTTCGTAAAAGACCTGGCACGTAACACACACTATCTCAAACTTCTTCGTATCACTATCAAGCATCCTCCATCTGCGTAGCTTCCAGTCCACCCTTCTCAATATTACTGATGTGCGCCAGAGTCTCCGTCTGATAAGGCATCTCCCGTGCGATTTGGACAGTATCGAAGACAGACTTCGACTGAACAAAAACATCATCGATCTCCTCCAGTGTACGGCCCTTGGTCTCAGGGCAAAATAAGTAGAAAAATACACAAGCAAAAGCGCTAATACACGCATAAACTATGTAATATCGCCAGTGGATAGTAGCGAACCCGACAGGGCTCACCTCTGCCAACACAAAGTTGAAGAGCCAGTTTGCTGCAGCTGACATAGCAGTAACCTTGGCACGAGTGCGTAGCGGTGCAATCTCTGCAGCGTACATGAATGGAACAAGGAAAAGTCCAATAGGGAAGCAGAAAAGCGCTACGAAGTAGAACAAGAGAGATGCGCTAGCCGCGGACCTATTTTCAAGGTCGCTTGATAGCCCAGCCAGACAGGCCTGGGCAACGGTCATACCAGCAGCGGCAGCAATAAGCAGTGGACGACGTCCGACACGATCAATCAGTAGAACGGCCAGGCCTGCAGCTAAGAATTGCCAGATTTGCAGACATCCGGTGATGATACGTGAGAGTGTACCTGAATAACCCAGGTCGGATTCGAAGATACCATCAGAATAGAAAGTGATAATATTGACACCAGTCATTTGCGCCAGAATGTTCACACCAACAGCGATAACTGTACGGTGAAGGTGGCGATTGTCTGTGAGAGCAAACGGCGAAGAGGAACCTGCCGATTCGGTATTCTCGTCAATTGCGAGTGAGTGTCGGATAATTTCCAGTTCCTGCAGGACATGCTCGGAGTCGACAGGTACATCTTTCATGCGGGCTAGCACTTCAGCTGCCTCGTCAAAGCGTCCGACGCATGCGAGCCAGCGGGGAGACTCGGGTAGGAGCATGATACACCCCACAACGACGAGACCGAAGAGGCCTTGAAATGCAATGGGAAAACGCCAGCTGACAGAGTTGTCGCTGACATAGTAGAGTCCGAATTCCAACCATGTTGCGAGAACAATGCCGCCGATGGCAAACCATCCCTCTAGCAGCACCATTCGTCCACGGCCCTCTGCTCCAGATGACTCGGACACGTACATTGGGATTGTAGCGGTGAAGCCACCGACACCAAGACCTATTTGTTTACTGGTTAGCTTATTGTAACTTGTCCAATGATAGGTCGGGGCTTTACCAGTAATGACTCTGCCAGCGATAAGCTGGCCAAGTGAGTAGGGACTTGCTTGAATAGCTATACCAACTAGGGCTATGCAGCCGGCAAGAAATATGGTCTTGCGACGGCCAAGTCTGTCACCTAGAAGGGCGCAGGAACCCGCACCTAATGCACATCCCACTTCATAGATAGCGACCGTTGTGCCTTGTAATGGTCAGCATTACTCTCGTTGATCTCTAAAGGTCAACTCATCCCAGTAGATACCTTGGATTTTAGAGTTTTGAGCTTTTTCACTGCCGCTGGTATTCACGGTATCGATCTGGGGGAACACGGCGATGAAAGAGCCCAGCGTCAATAGTCCATTGGCAACTGCCTGATCGTAACCCTGTAGTACAAATCCGACCGCGCCAATAATACCAATGACTAGGCTCAGTGACTTGCCTTTGAGCTTAGTGGGTGCCATCGCGCTCACCTTATAGGTTTTTCTAGTAGAGGTATTGAAAAGTCTTATGTCGGATGAGTTGGAAGACTTCGGTTATTACACGATTCCAGCCTAAGGGAAAGAACTTCGAAATTAAAGGAACTTCCGGAGTTACCTGTCCGAAACATCCCCACTAAATCCCAAGGTGAGGGGCCCCAGACTGAGAGGATGTACCTATGGATACCTACTAGGTACATGTAGGTACCTAGGGGTAAGTACCCACTTGGAGAAATATAAGCTTACCAAGCTTCGGGCGTTCGCCGAACGGGCCAACCGGCTTCCTCAGATTTGGCTATCAGTGGAGCTTAGGCTTCCTTCGAGTTTGGTACACTACGCCTAGCGTTGGCTCTATCAAGTCCCGCACTTGTTGGAATCCGTGCGCAATACACCCCAAATCCCTGTGAACTATTCATTGGCTATACAAGTCAATATCCATGTTGATCTGATCACATCCTCATTTTCTATTAATGCCTCATACCCACTTCCCCTCTTGACTCTTAGGCGGGGTGAAAATACATTCATGTCGAGACGAAATTGAGGGCTGTGAACCTGAGACGTCGGCTATAGCGGTGTGCAGCATAGCCCCTTCTAATTTGTGGACTGAATGTCTCTTATCTTATGCATCACTTTTCTAAGCTCCCCACTGCCTGTTTTTGACGGTCTATATGACGCAAGTTGCCACTGCTTCAGTTCTAACATCCTGACAGTGGCTCTGTGAAACATACTGGACATTCTTGACCACCCTAGCATTCCCGCATCATTATTGCAGTGAGCTATAGGGCAATATGCTATCTACGATAATTATAAGAAATATTAATGAGTACCAGGCCTAGATTCTCACAGCTTCCTATTCCAGAAAGCTGACCTGGTTTCAATACAACTTTCGATACTTATGAGAAGAGCACTGTCCCCGAGATTACCGACACGTTGCAGATCTTTACTGAAAGAATCAATGCCGTCATTACTCCGGAAGATATGCACAACCAAATCATAAAGTCATATGTCATCAGGTATGCTATGAAGACGGCGGAAGAGAAAACACCGACTTCACTCTGCGGGAAACCTCCTTCTTCAACGCCCGATACTCGCTATCCGTTCGCAGAACAGCATCCCGATTCTCGATTGCCCGACGAAGAAGATAAGCCAGACATTCACCCATCCCTCCCCAAGTGGAGCATTTATAAACTTCCGGTGTTCCATCACCATCATTCATCTGAAGCAGCGAAAAGCTGACCTCATCAGACATACCATGAAGCTGGGCAAAACGCACGGGCACGGTAGGCAAGCCAGACATGACACGATGTTTATGAAGCTTGTGCGCAGCCACCACGCTCTCTTTGTTATGACTTGCCAGGAACAGATTCACCGAGGGGAAGTTGCGGCTGCCCTTGTCTCCAAATTCTCCAATATTCTTTCTCAATGCCCCCTGTGTAATCATATTGTATGCCCTGTCGGTGTCTTCCTTCGTGTCATGGATCAGGGACCGTTCATCCGTGGCCATGTATGCTCCTCTCACGAGCTTAAGGCCAAGAGTGAATCCATCTTCCTTTGCCACAGCGAGATGGCTGACCAGTGTCTCTGGCGTGCTTTTAAGGTAGGCCTGATAGGTATTGTAGATGGTGGCGTAACCGTCGCGGTTGTATTTCCTCATAAGTTCCACAGCAACCCGTGAAATGCCCCTTTGGAAATGCTGGGACTCAGCGTCAACGAGGATGCGAACCTTTCGGTCTTTGGCCTTTGTGCACACCTCATACAGTGCATCCATCATTTGCTGCGGAGGCAACTCTCCAGCGGCGAAAGCGTCGGTGACTTTGACGCCAGCACCTGTCAGTCTTGTAAATAGTCAGTCATGACTCCATGAAAGAGTGGGTTGCGAGTAACTTACTTGACTGCGAGGTAATCTTCTGCTTCCGTCATGTAGATTGTCTCAACTGTCCCTTTCCGCCAAGCTTCAATGCTGGGGCATTGGTAAACCGCAGCATTGACGGACACATCCCCCTGCTCGCCTTTCAAAGCAGCAACACCCTGTCCCTGCTGAGCCTGGGTACTATGATCAAACACAGTCTCAGCAGCGTATGTCAAAATCATACCGCGGAAGCCCATGTCTTTCATTTCCCGAATGGTAGATCTGCATTCTGCCCCATTCTCTCCAGCACAGAATTGATTGTAGAAGGTTTTCTTTAATATTCCATGCAGAATCGGATTTCTGTCCACGTCAAATAGCCAGATCCTGTTAGGCTTGGAGAGGAAGGTCATCAGCGAAAGGGCGGGAATGAGGAGGAATCTCTTCGACGATATTGTTGAGACTAGCAGTGATCTGAGCAAGACACGCGTCGGTAGAACAGACAGAGGTGGTAGTGAGGTGCTCGGACCGGTCTTCGTTTGTGCGTGTGCTTGCAGTGTTGAGGCAAGTCGCAGTGCCATTGAGGCATTCACATTGCTTGTTGGTCGAGTGCATCGCATAAGAGCGGGTAGAGGCTTTCCAGGCAGTAAGGTACCCATTTCTTTCAAATGCTATTATGATTTTGGACTTCTGCTCATTTCAAATTAGGCGAAGGGACCAGCTTCTTTATCCTTCAGTGTTGCTCCCGTCGTATACAGGCAGATAGCATCTCGGACAGGCGCCCGGTGCGTTTGATAACCGATGAAACCATGCGGGGTGATTATCGCTGCTGGTCAGTCTCTCCACAAACAGTCATGAAACCCGGAGAACATATTTGGAGTCCTGGTTCTATTGGTGATCCAGTTAATTCGGTCGTGGAATGTCTGAACGGAAGACTCGCCGGTGGCGGGGTTGCTTGTCCAGGTTATCAACGGTATGCCTACCGGCAGTGCCTATTTGGTTTTTATCAAGTGACACAAAGATAGATTGGAGTATTTGTTGTCAGCAGACCATTTCACGTTGCTTTGCGGGTTATTGATATCTTTCAGATATGACGGAAAGGCTTATGTACAATCTTCGTTGAATCCTTTTTGAACTTGTGCCATATCTCATGGAAGGATATACCATCGCCATCACACAAAATATATAGAATAGAAGACTGTACAATAGAGCCTAGAGTACCACTAAATCGCAATATCTTCTCGCGTTAACAAACAGCAGTTTACTTAGTGATCGTGACTGACGGTCTTCGGGGATTTCGACAATCTCCGATCAAACTATATCATAATAGGTAGATTTATAAAAGAGTATTATCACTAATTCAATTTGTAAAGAGAAATCGGTTATATTATAAAGCCCATATTTTCTGCTGTGGGCTTGTTATATAGGCAAAAAACAAAGGGAGAAGACACGTTTCCAACCGCATCTGGTCTGTTAAATCATTGCACATATCAGGAAGAAGATAGGATAGATTCATTCCCAACATATATAAGCATGCAACTATTGGTTTGTTCTTCACTATCCCCTGGCCTTTAATTTTAACTTTGAGTCTAACATGACAAGATGACAACCTACAGGGAGACTACTTCAAACAAGTATAGCTCGTCTTTCCCTTCTGCCCATCCATCTCCAGCACAGTGTAATGTTTAAAAACAGGTACTATATCAGCTAAAGCCGCTGTATCTGCTTGTATGAACATTTAGCTGATATAGTACCTGTTTAACCTAGTGTGCATCAAGCGAAACCATACTCCAAGCACACAAATTGCATCATGGACCCATCCCGTGTATGTTCGATGAAAGTGTCTCATTATTCAATCATTTAGAGGGTATATAGAAGAATAAAAAGAAGAAGAAGAAGCTGTAGTCCCATACCAAAATGCAATCCTTGTTCTCAAGAATGGCCATCTTCCTGGATGAGAGTTTACATCCTTCCGAGATGACAATTAAGTAGAGGACCAACACTGTGTGCATTTAATGTTGCTGTATGTGCGTGCGGATGAGGCAAAAGTTCGTGAATCCAAGCATGTTTTACAGAATTTGAATCGAAATATAGATCTCCTTTTTTGCCGCGAGAGTTCGGGTTCAGCTTCAATCTGCTACTCGTTCGGCTTCATGATTGTGCTAACCGCAGGAAAATAGTAAAAGAACTTGATTAATGAACCAGCGTCTGTTTTTGCTAACTTGGCCTTGATCACTGGTCTATTACAAAATGCGTTGGTATTATTGGACGATAAGGATGCCAATATACTGAGCTGAGTTGCTAGATATCTTTAGTAAACTTCTGAGGCTTTTCTTATCTGGATAAGTGTTAATGAAGCCCAACTTTTGCGAATGGTACCTGATACCGAGTACTGTATGAGGCGTTCGGTGTTCAAAGGCGGGTGAACTGCCGAGGCTTGTCGGGAGGTGGTGCCGAGGTTGGCCTACACGTACACCTGGTCAGCATTGGTTGTACAGACCTCGGGAGTTCTTACTGAGGACCAACAGCCCATTTCATTGTCTTTCCGACCGACTTCTAGTCAACCTACGAGGACATTTAGTAGCGGCGTGGGTTTGTTTTTGGCCAATAGTCTAGTCAAATACGAAACCTCGCTAAACGATCAATAGGGATCACTGGAAAGACATCGTTTTAAAAAAGGATATCCCAAAGAAACTAAAGATCCTAATCTTTCAAGTATACTAGGACAGTCTATGGTCCAATATGCGTGAAAGAAATACAAAAATCCGAACAATGCCCAAATAATACCATTTGTTTGGGATAAAAGAGTAGAGATATTAAGTACATGCATGAGAATTGCAGGAGAATGCCACACCAGAAACGAAAGGCCTGATAACCCAAGTCATGTAGAGATACACAACTATGGTTGTTGTAAGGGCCGATGGAAAGTGCTTCAGGACGCGTCTGCATTGTAAGCCGGAACTTAATAAGCAACCATAAAAGTGGCCTATGAAGCTTCCACGTGCCGTTTCGCGAGCATGTCTTTCCATTGAATCTGCAAATTTAGGATCTGCAGGTCTACGCATGTTACGGCGCCTCAAAGGCTCCGATGCGCAGACCGGTCAGATGAATCCGGTTCAATTCTGCGCCAAGCCTCATTTTGGGCATCCATACCGGGAGGATTGGGTCCGGAAGTTGGTGCGATTCGTGGTGGCAGAGCGGTTTCAGTGATCAGCCATTATCAAACAAGGGATAGGCTATCGCGCTGCTAGTTTGGTGAAAGTCGTGTTCATTGTCGGTCAACGACTGTCAGAATAATCGAGATCATGACAGTCAAGACAGATCGCAGGAGATGATATCAATTTCAAATGTAGAGCGATCAGTGGGGCCTAATAACTTTGGGCCGATACCGCCGCGGGCTGGGATTGGTTAGCGATTCGTTCAAGAAGATACGGGATTAAGTGCCTGGGTAATTTGCAGGAAGAAAGATCGGCACTGCTGCACGATGGAGCAACGTTCACATGGGGGGAAATCCAATAACAAAGGGGAGGTCCTTACAGGGCTGTTCAGCATGCTGTTGCGCTTGTTTCGGCCCTTCTTAATGTGGTTCTTCAGGGCAGTCGAGTCCAAGGGTTTGAGAAGTTCGAAGCTGCAAAGAAGTTCGCCAGAGACTGACATGATAGCGCCCCAGTTATCGAATTCGCCGCAATACTGTGAAAAGGTCAGTTTGAGTCGCAGTGAAACACAAGAGAAGGCAATTTACATTAGGCGCAGAAAACACAGTCACCAGAATGCGATCCTGGTAGAACTCGTATCCATCCTCAACCACCATGTGGGCGCGGCAAACCAGGTCGAAGTCATGACGCTGCAAAAATTCCATGATCACCTTCTTTCCGAAGCAGTAACTGACACCACGCTCGTTTGGTTCCCAATCTTCCTCCATGTCTGCCGGGTCACTCCACAGAAGATCGTTCAACAGACCATAGTCCGGCACATCAGTAGGGCGAGCGATACCACGAATGTCATCCATATGCGAAAGACTAGGAGAGAGACCACCGTGGACACAGAAAATCTTGCCGGCCACAATTGCAGCAATCGGGAGAGTATTGAAGGTATCGATGAAGGTCTTCCAGACCTTTATGTTGCAACGACGCTTGCACTCATCATAGAACCCATAAACACGGGTAACGTTGGCACATTCATGGTTTCCTCGAAGCAGGAAGAAGTTCTCGGGATACTTGAGCTTATAGCACATCAGCAGAAGAATCGTCTCCAGACTCTGCTTGCCTCGGTCGACGTAGTCACCCAGGAAAAGGTAGTTGGAAGCGGGAGGGAATCCACACATCTCGAAGAGGCGGATAAGGTCAGTATATTGGCCGTGAACGTCACCGACAATCTTCACGGGAGCTGATAGCTCCAGCAGAGCAGGCTGCGACAGGAAGAGCTCGCGAGCGGCGGTGCAAATGGCGGTGATCTCCGCATTCTTCAAACAGACTGTTTTGGTGACCTTGCTAGAATAACCAGCGTCTAGGAGTCGCGAAATCATGTCGTCCAAATCAATGGACTTCAAAGCGCCCATGCCCATACCGGGAGAGCCCGAAGTCTCTAGGGGAGCGTTCAAGATAAAGTCCAGGATAGGATTCAGTTGGTTCTCTCGCTTCATAAGAATTGATTCGCCGACGACCGCGGGGGCCCCACTCGGGGGGCCACCAGAGGGAGGACCATCTGACACATGATCGACTTCCCCACTCTCCTTCATCGCAGCCACATCCTTATGACCACGTTGCAAGCTGGTGGAAAGCGAGGGGGATGGCGGGGGTTGAGGGGAGCCGGGTCGCGAAGTGGTCTCAGAACCAGGGGAGGAGAGACCGGCATTGGAGCCAGGGCGGCTGCCAACTGACTTGAGGGATCCAGCATCGGATTTGTCGGTCTGGCTCTCAGTCCGGGAGAGAGCAGTTGTGGATCCTCGAGGGCTATCAGAGCTGCGAGCACCAGGGATTTTCGATCGGATCGAGCCGCGGAACGAGCGTAGAGACTCCTTGGTGTCGGATTTGGAAAACGAAGGATAGGACTGCAGAGGGTCGCCCGAGGCGTTGCCCTTGGAATGCGACTGACCCATCACTACAAGGCTCGGTTAAAACTGCCAAGCTTGACTTGGGGGATGATCACAACGAACGATGAAAGTTCGAACTGTTATGTCGAGAAACCCTTGTTATATTGCTGGAATGTCTTGGTCCGAGCTTCTGCGAAATTACAAAGAGCTTGGAGAGACTCTGCAAAGAGCGCGCAGTGGTTTTGTGAGTGAGGACTGCTTATCACTAATCCACCTGGTCGGGACCCTGAGGAACGCACGGGCGGGAGGCAAATGCGAGACGTGAGCACAGTTATGAGGCGAATGGGCGAGGCGGCAAGGCCAAAGTGAGGATCTAGAAAGCGACTGAACGTTCTGTGATTGATGCAGGCGGATGAGGTTTCGAATGGTGAGAAGCTAAAGATAAAAGGCGGAAGCTCCCAGGTGACAGGCTGAAGCTCTACAACAAGTTAGCCTCTTGCACGAGACAATGCAGGTGCGGGATTGCAGGGCTGACTCCGCAGAAAACCC